CCTAAACTAGACGTAATTTTTCGTATGCACAAGCAGATTCGTCCAAACATACATGCTGATTTATTGTAACATGTAGTCTGAAACCATGTTGAGCTATAACATCACGATCAACCATACTCGTATATAAAATTACTTTGACTTGATTGAAAAAATCTGTTTGTACAAACAATTTATACAAACATTTTATTATGTGTAGGGACGATTTATCTAAGCACATACAATTAACTCAAACTATTAAGTCATATTTGTTGCAACATGTAGTGCTGTAGTTATTTTGTATGTCCATTTTGTTGGTACATACAAATACAGCAAACTTGTTTTTACGTCTAATAAGGGGCCCCTAACAAAATAATATATTAAAATTGTCCCCAAATTCGTTAGTGAACGAACATAGCGGAACTTCGAACGCTGTAAAAAATGTTTGAAGTGAAAGATGTAAACAGCGACGAAGGACATATTATGGATGTTGCAAGTATGTATACACGCACACTGCGACGGACCTAACTGCATTCATTCATCGAATGATCGAAAATCAAAATATTGGTATTGGTTAACTTTCCTTTAATACTCGCGTTAAATCAAATTGTATAAAAAAGACAAACTTTCTCTACTACAAAATATGTAGTAAGTAATATAGAGTTCATTAAAAAGTTGCTTGATGATTGCAATAAACATAGTTTACAAAAATACAAATGTCTATATGTAGATTATTTAATTGTTTTTTAAATTTGTCATTTTTTTTATTGCTCTTTTTTAACACGAAATATCCATGAATTTTGAAATTACGGTCCAACAAATCTTATTATTATATTAATTTGGTTTTTTATAAGACATGTATTTCTTTCTTGAAAGTTGAATGTGAATCAGACAATCTGTAACAAAAATGTTGTTATTTTTCTCTAAATATCAAGTAAAATATATGTATAAAATGAAGCATACAGTAAAAGAAAATGTTACAAATTGCAAAGCACCAAATTGCAGTTGTATGTATCTGTCTGATTAGATACATAGCTAAGTTAAAGTAGTTGATGAACATAAAAGAAAAATGCGTATCTAAAAATGCTATACAAGACAAATAATTACTAGCTACCTGACGATTACGCTGGAAATAGTAATATACATTTTTTTGCGGCTCTATTGTATTCCACTAAAGTTCAGAGATTATTTTGAATTTGACTACTCATCAGTTTTGTTTATGTGGTTATCAAGTTATTTGTCTCGAATACTTATAAGATACAAGTAAATGAATAATTTGTTTTCTATTTATCATGGCTACTCTTCTTTATCTGTCTGTCCGACAAAGGTTGTAATTATTTTAATGCAACACCTACTCATCAATATACAAGATAAACAAAATGTCAAAAACTTTAAAATGTAAATTTAATCATTTTGCCCTAAAGTGAATTTGTTTCCAAATAGAAATAAATGGGTACATTGTCGTTAAAATGTTTTTGTTGTACCTACTAACTTTAAAGAAGTCGAATTTGCAAAATATTTAGTGAGACTAGTAAAAGTAAAAGCTACATTAAAATCACCGGCGATGATAATGTAGCTTTCACTTTTGATCAATCTACTCAACAGCATCTCGATGTTATTAGTGAATACATCAAAATTTCCGCCAGAGGATCTATATATACTTACAATTACTGTAGTACCTATTGGCGGCTCTTCTTAAACGAGAAGAAGTTTCGAGTGTTATCATTTAAAGTAGGTGCAGACTCAGAGCTCATGGAAGAGCTGTATAAAAGTGATAACTGGCCTGCAGGAATGGTAATAAAAAAATTCAACTTTTTTTGAAGATCAGGAAAATTGTGAACTTCCTGATAGGATACACCAAAAAGTTACAGGTAGAAAAACTAGCATCGGTTATTTGAGCATCATGCATTTAAACTGTCAGTGTCTTGTAAATAAAATAAACGAACTAGAAGTTACTCTGGAAGAACACCCTTGTAGTGTAGTATGTGTGACCCAACATTGGTTTGAAGGAACAGCTTTTGACTCTGTGAACATTAGTGGGTATTATTTAATTGACTATTATAGTAGAACAAGGCACATACATGGTGGTACTGCAATATTATGCAAAAATCACATCAAGGCTCAACCGGTAGAAGAAATTAAAAGTCTCTCTCTTGACCTACACTTTGAATGTGCGGCAAGTAAATTTACTGATTTGATTACTAATATAATTGTTATTGTCATATATAGAAGTAGCAGTAATGGTAATATTAATTTGGTTTTTGAGAAATTTAACATAATGTTGGACATATTGTCAAAAAAAATTAGAAAGTATAAATAGATAATATGCGGCGATTTTAATATTAATTTTTTAGGCCAACAATCCGAGAAATCTGAGATGATGGACGTCTTGCACTCCTATTATCTAAAACCCATCAGTAGTAACAGCGATCCATTAGTGTGACCTTGAAAAACCGCTAGGATTTGAGCGACCTTGAAAAAACCGCTAGGATTTGAGACCCGCTAGTAATTAAGGACCGCTAGTAATTAGAGTTAATTAATGCATAATTAATTATCGATTAAATTCGATTTTAATTACGGGAATATGTTTAATAGGTGTGTTTAGGGCTTAATTAGATTCGGGAATTAATTTATTAGAGGGTTTAGGTTTAATCATGATCGTGAATATTAAATGAGATTTAATCGATAATTAATTACCCTTAATTAGTAGCGGTCCTTAAGTATTCGAGGTATAGTAAATCCTAGCGGGTCTCAAATCCAAGCGGGTCGTAATTCTTCGCTGGTCCATTGCTGGTCAAAATACTAGCGCTTTCACCTTCCGAAATCCTAGCGGTCATAAATGCCGATACTTCCCTCGCTCAAGGGTTATTCGGGGTGCGTGTAAATCCAAGCGGTGTAAAATACTAGCGGGTTTAAAAGACTAGCGCTTTCACTTCTTAAATGATTATTCGGAACACCTATAAAGGGGCACAACCTCGATACAATGGCAATTGCAATTTTGTATACCTCTTTAGAATGGGGAATTAATTATTTATTAGAGGGTTTTAATCATTAGCGTGAATATTAAATGAGATTTAATCGATAATTAATTACCCTTAATTGGTAGCGGTCCTTAAGTATTCGAGGTGTGGTAAATCCTAGCGGGTCTCAAATCCAAGCGGGTCATAAATCTTCGCTGGTCCATTGCTGGTCTAAATGCTAGCGCTTTCACCTTCTGAAATCCTAATGGTACGCGAACGCGTCGGGAGGGCGGGTGGCGGCGGGACGCGGGCGGCGACGACGGGACGCGGGCGGCGGCGGCGAGATCTGGGCGAACGGCACGAGGGCGAACGGCGCGTGGACGGCGGGCGGGCGATGGCAGCGGCGACGCGACACATACACAAGTTTTATTTATTTATTTTGAAGCTAAACAAGAATTTATTATTAGATATAATATATACTATATTTTTTTTTATGCAAAAGTTGAAAATGTGTTTGGAATGTTTGTACCTCCTGTTACATAGTACCAGCTGGTTTTCGTATATATGTAGACTGTGACATGTACCGGTGGAGTAAATCTAAAGCGCTGTTACCAGATCTATGGGTTTGAAGGACGCCACCACACTGCAGGGTGGAAGCACAGCATAGATATCAATCAGTAGAGACGGCTCGCCGTTTTTCGTGACCCGTTTTCGTTGGTGGTCGTTCGCATTATGACCGAATGAGGGCGCCCAACTGACGTCTAAAATATTTGAAATTTGGCAGTTTTGTTACAATATTTTTGCCAGTTTTGCTTGTTTAAGACTGCTTTTCCGGTAGAATTGTACAAATAGTATAAAAATGTAATTTTCACAATAAAAGGTAAAATCTTTGTCCGATGAATTTTCATACCGGATCCCTGTTGTGCGTCTTATTCTCTCCCTCGTGTTTGGAATTCTTGGAAAAGATAGTAAACATAACACATTTTTTGTTTAAAAAGTCGTCGCAAACGAACAACAACGGTGGTTATGAATAAAATAAAAACTGTAACAAATCATCGTGTTTATAAATTAAATATGGACTTTTCTTTTTTCTTATTGCGATTCACGATTATACGATTTGAGCAAACTAGACAGTTTGCAATAAATTGCGTACACGAATCAATTTTTGAAATTGTAAATGAAGTGATACTTTTTAAATTGGGTGGCGACATCTAGGAATAGTTTAGGCAACGACCACCCATGACGGCTTAAAATTCGGGTCAGAAAGAACAAAGGCGCCGACACGAGCTGTCTCTACTGATTGTTATCTATGCTGTGGTGGAAGCCTTGCTGAGGAGTTCGGCCGGATGTGTACAAACTTAGTTTTGCCGCCCATCTATTATTTGGTAGGGTTTTATAACGAGAAAATTAACATTATTGGTACATATGTTAACCGGCAAACTTTTATTTATATCTCACATATTTCACTTGATTTTGGCATGCAACATTTGTTTTGTTGTATTAAGAAATACCTAGTTATTTAATTGTTTGATACTAAAAAAATTTTTCAAATTTACAATACAGTTGGAATATGGTCATGCAATAGATTTTTGCAGCAAATGTAGATATTTTTATGTTTTGCGAAACATCATAATCTACTGGTATGAATTTTTAAATATTTTAAATGAAGACTTATGTGACGATTCAATACACGTACATACAATGTATGACATTAACATCGGGAATTTTTTTTTAACAATAACACAACAAGCTTAAGGTTCTCAGTAATATTCGTTCAATCATTTATTTCTTTTTGTTTTAATTTTAAAACATATTTATACATTATAAGCTATGAACCGTGGAGAAAACATTAAATTAGCCATTTATCAGATTTTGGTTTTTTTCATAATTTGAAAAGTCTTGCTCTTGTTAACACCAACTTATCAGATATGCTAACCCCACCTTTAGAACATAGTATATAAGGAAAAACATTAAAAAGTGGGTGATAATTGTAATACGGATGATTTAAAAGTTTACCGTAATAAAGGAATACTTTAATTGTAAACATATTTTATAAAAGTTTTTTGTGATCATAAATTTCAAAAATAAGTGAACTTCCTGACGGGTAAGTTGAAAATTACAGTCAGAATTTACCATGTACGCGTATTTTATATTGCACATGATGATCATTAACGAATTTATTATAACTTGCATTGCTTTTATCAATATGTACAGTACAACACTTCAGACTTAAAACTTGCATTTCTACCTCGAGTAGATCTCCAAATTTGTGTTCTAATGGTACTTCGTATAAGTAAAGAGCTACTTTTAGACTAAAAAAAGGCAAAATAGACGATAAAAATTGTGGATTTAGACGCGAAAATGGCAAAATAGGCGCTTTATGCAAGTTTTAGGAAAAACAAATTTTACGCAACGTCTGGTTCTCTTTCAGATCTATAATTTTGAAATTTGGTGTGGATGTATAGTTAAACATGGCGACTTGATTACAATATTTTGTCTTTTTTTATCGTTTTCGGTTTCACACACAAGGCCGCCTAATTTTTTGTTTTAATGGAACACCCAGATTTTTTTGACATTTTCTGATGCAGAATAAAAAAATTTTTTCTTTTGTCTGTTAAGACATTTTTTTGTCTAGAGAAAGATCTCTCAACATCACAATGAATTGTGCAACATTACGAATTTACGTTTACAATTTTCCCAAAGGCTTTACAGAACTATTCGCCGCTTTTTATTTGAAAAATGTCTTTGTCTTTCATTGGTTCCCTCAACTTCTCCTTGAAAGACGATTTGCATTTTTAAAAATCGCACAAAATACTAGATAATAAACAATTTTTAAAACACTTTTACACTTTTCAACTTCATTTACCTAACACAAAATAAATGGTACAGGAAGAGAACTCAAAAATAAAGTAGTAGGAGGGCATCAAAGCTCTCTCTAGAAAAGCAAGAGACAACTTGTATCGGGGTCTTTAAATGGATATTTTAATTATTTTAAGACGTACGTACCCAACTGTCCAGTAAAATTTGTTCTTTGATGTTTGATGCAGAAAAACAGATTTGGGTTATGTTGGCATTTTGCTCACGGAATTCCCCTGACCCTTTTAACCAAAACTCGAGTTGGATTATCTTTCTTTATGGTACCGGAAATATTACAATTTGTCGCCTGAAAACTTGTTTGATCTACAGACCACACCGCACTCAGGCTAATGTCGACTCTAAGCGTTCAGAAACGACTGTAAGCCATGTTCCGTGATGTAATGCACATCCTAATCGGTTTCGACCATAATTTCTACGGGAAAACGAATTAATCCGTTATGTTCATGCATTTTATAATAACATTAAATAACTTGACAGCTACTTTATATATTAAAAAGTAACATAGTCTCGAATTTGTGGTTTAAGAATCCACGTTGAATTTTTATCTTCGACATTGAGATTTGTCGGCATTTCAACGTTCGAATTTTCAATTTTTCGAAATTTTAGTTTTGGCGTTTTTCAGTTTATTTATTGTTCAATTTTTGGATTTTACAATTTCTCAATTTTCAGTTTTACGTTTTTTCAATTTTTCTCCTTTTCAATTCTAGGATTTTTCGATTTTGCAATTAATCAATGTTTTCATTTTCCTATTTCTTGACTTTCGAGTATTTCGATTTTCCAGTTGTCCAATTCTTCATTTTTTCGATTTTTCAGGTTTTTGATTTTTCAATTTTTCAATTTTTTTTAAGATTTCAGTTTTTCGACTTCCCTTTTCCATTTTTCGATTTTTCAATTTTTTTGGATTCTTAGTTTTTGGATATTTCAGTTTTGGTTTTTCAGTTTTTCCATTCTTCAGTTTTTCTTTCATCGTTCAGTATTTCAATATTTCAGTTTCGGGATTTTTCGATTCTTCGTCTTTTCGATTGTTGACTTTGGATTTTTGGATGTATCGATATTTTTACTTCCTCGATTTTTCAATTTTTCGATTTTTAAATTTTACATTTTTCAATTTTTTGATATTTAGATATTTCAGTTTTTAAAATTTTAGATTTTTCGATTTCTCTGTTCCAGATTTTCTGTTTTTGAATTTTTCGTTTTTTCAAATGTTCGGTTTTTCAATTTTTCAAATTTGACATTTACAAACTTTCAATTTTTCGATTTTTCAGTTAATCGATCTTTTATTTTTCATGATTTTTCCCATTACTTGATTTTCAACTGTTTCGATTTTTCAATTCTTCAATTCTTCAATTTTTCGACTTTTCGGGTTTTTGATTTTTCAATTTTTGGATTTTTTTAAGCTTCGATTTTTCGACCTCATTTTTTGATTTTTTGATTTCTCAGTTTTTCAGTTTTTTAGATTCTTAGTTTTTGGATATTTCAGTTTTGGGATTTTTCAGTTTTTCCATTATGCTGTTTTTCTTTCATTTTTCAATATTTGGGTTCTTCGACTTCTCGATTTCTGACTTATGGATTTTTCGATGTGTCGATTTTTTTACTTTTTCGATTTTTCAATTCTTCGATTTTTCATTTCAATTCTTCGATTATTCGACTTCCCGGTTTTAGATTTTCAGATTTTGAATTTTTCGTGTTTTCAAATTTTCGATTTTTCAATTAATCGATATTTTGATTTTCTTATTAACTGACATTCGACTGTTTCGATTTTCCAGTTTTTCAATTCTCCAATTTTTCGATTTTTCGAGTTTCTGATTTTTCAATTTTTCGATTTTCTAAGTTTCGATGGTTCGACTATACTTTTTTGATTTTTCGATTTCTTAGTTATTAAATTTTTTAGATTCTCAGTTCATCAATATTTCAGTTTTTCAAGTTTTCGAATGTTTCAATTGCTTCGATTTCTTAATTTTTTGACCTTTTGACTTTATGGTTTTAGATTTTCTATTTTTCAATTTTTAGTTTTTTTCAAAATTTCGATTTTAAAATTTTTCATTTTTAAAATTTTTCGATTTTTCAAAGTTTTGATTTAGCGATTTATCGAGATTTGGTTGTTTTGATATTTTGATTGTTGAACTTTCTCGATTTATCAGTTTTTCAATTTGTACCTTTTCGATTTGTTTATTTTGGACTGCTTCGGTTTCTCAGTTTTCTACTTTTCTGTTTTTTCGTTTTTGTTTATTTTTTCGCTTTTAGATTTTTGATTTTGCAATGTTTTATCTTTTAACTTTTCATTGTTTCGATTTTAGCCAATTTCAGTATCTCAATTTTTTTACTTCGACTTCTCGATTTCTTGATCTTTTGATTTTTCAGTTTCTCGGTTTTGCGATTTTTTACTTTTTGTATTTTCGGTTTTTCGATTTTCCACTGTTTCGATGTTTTGATTTTTCAATTATCCGCTTTTTCAATTTTTCGGTTTTTTAAATTTTTTAGTTTCGATTTCGCAATTTTTCGTTTTTCGGGTTTTGCTAGTATAAAACACAAATAAAGAATTAATTCTTAGTTAAACAAAAAAATAGTTGCATATCAAAAACGAATGAAATATGTAACATGTGATATTATATTTGTAAATAAAACCATCTACCTAAATATATACCAAAAATGTTCACTTATTCGTTATAAAATCCGACTGAACAACTATTTTACGTAAAAATTATTGTCCAAATCAAGCAAATCGCTTCTGAACGCTTATAGAGTCGACAGTTGCCTGAACGCGCTGTGGTCTGTAGATCAAACAAGTTCTCTGGCGACGAGATGTGATAAAGCTATTTGTTATATTTTTAACTACAAAGTTAAATGGTATTTTTTAAACCAGAGACATTACATATATACGCGAGCTGTTATTCTCCATTTGAAAATTTAATATTATTAGTTTTGGCTAACAAATAAAAAAGTTATTCGAGATAAAATTTTTAAGCTGACTGCTCATTTCTCGATTTTGTTTGTATATCAGTGGCGGCTCGTGACTGTCTGATGTGGTGAGGCGATGATAGAAGTTTGACAATAATATTATCAATAATAAAATTAATTAAATTAATGTGATTAATGCAAATTACTTGGTCTTAGTAGTTAGTAATGATAGAAGTCTTGCCTGAATACCGTTCATTTCCCAGTCAGTAGTGGGTCCTAATAATAGTAATAATAATCATAATATTAACACCCATAGCACATTTAATCAACAATGTTTTTACAAGTCAAAATTTTGTTTAAACTAGCACTTTCTTGGAGGGATTCGGCAATAGTTGTGTTCCTTTCTAAATCTTTTAAGCCCATGAAATTTTTAATGTGTACTTTGGAACTTTTGTCTAACTTTGCACTTCGAATGAAATCCTTTAAATCGTTATATCCCGGAGACGTCGTCCATGTGTTTTTTACATTGCCTAAGAGTAGACACGGCCAACAATATAGACTTTCAGCATAAATATTACGGCTACGGCAGAGCCGTTTATGTTTCGTACCAGGCTGGTTTAAAAGACCTGGAGTGCTGATGACATTGTCGCTTATCAATGGAAGTTAACGGTTTTGACTGTTCGATATTTAGCAAAATTTACCGACGTTCTAACTCGGTTCGTCGTGAAAACGGCGTTTCAAGAAGCAACATGACAATATCGTACTCGGGATTCATTTTTCACTCACCTGTACCCTGTACCTATGAAAGAGACAAAAACACGAAACACCAACTCCTGGACTTTTATTCACGTTTATGCTAATTACCCACGCACCCTGTATTTCCATTCTGTAAAATAAATGGGAAAATGGTTTAATGGGTCCGCCGAAATTGGCCGAGAAGCATCGAAGATATCGCCTCAGTTCCGAGCGAATTCATGTATAGGAGTATAGCAGCTGAGTCATGGAAATCCGTGTCTGTGATTGGGCTTCATTGGCTCAAGTGAACCGACGCTCTGGCCGCTTCAGTTAAAGAATTCGGGGCATAAATCGTACAGTTTTCAACGGAAAATGTCCGCAGAAAGTGTAAAAAATAAAAAAATAATCTACAGATTTACCATTTCAACATATTTTTGTAACTAAAAATGGATTGAAAGCTCTTTTTTAATTATAAATTAAATCAATCTGTTCTTAAGATATATGCTGTGAGGCGCCGCCTCACTTGCCTCATATGACGAGCCGCCACTGTTGTATATTATAGGTATTTTATTATTTTAAGTGTATTTGGTTTCTGTAATTGGGATTTCTTCCTGTTGAAATCATTAAATATTATTATTAAAATAGAAGCATCAAAATTAGATATAATTAAATATAATTTTCTTTCAGACAACCAGAATTGGTAGACAGCTAAGCTTTGAAATTACGATAGTGCATTAAGAAAACAGTAAATTTAGATTAATTTTGGTATTTCTTTATATAACGTTTGCGAATTAAGTGGATATATATATCAGAAATGAATGACGGATTTTTAATAAACAATCAGTTAAAAATTAAAGTTAAAGTTAAAGTTAATCACGCATTTAACGAGGCGTTTAGCGATGTCTTGGCGTACAGTCGGTCACGTGGTATTTTAAGGTCGTGTTAAAAATTTAATCGCAATCAAATATTTAATTGAGCTTCTGCAACGGTTTGAATTTATTATTATTTAATAAAATTGGTATCCCATTTTATTACAGTTTTCCGTTTAACCAACAACATGAATTGATTCAACTCTTAACTTATTTTTAAGCATTGTTCTATAGTGACTAAATCAGTATCTAGTCAACATTTAAAATAAATTCGTCCTGTACCTAGATTTTTAGATAAACTGAAAAAATTTCTTCTAAAATTTATTTTCCTCGTGATAAGCCGTATACGTCCACACTTTTCCACTAAAATCATCATTCATAAGATTGAAGACAGGAGCAAATCATGATATAATGACATAAATCTTGAGTTTTTACCATAGACATCCATATTTAAAAAAAATCAAAATTACACAGTAACAACATTTTTGAAATTGAAATCTTGCACAGGTTTTAAGGCAATCGCAAGTTTTAAAATTACTTATACAGGGTGAGTTGGAAATAATGAATCCCATGTTTCCCAAACTTTTAGTATACAGGGTTATTATTATTAGTATTACGTTGCACTAGTTCAAATTATATGAGCCTTTGCTAACATGTCGGTGACGTCATCACAAGATTTTGTTCGGAAAAAATTGAAATATACGTATTCGATGTTTATTTACCTGTAGTTTAACAATCCACACACATGTCTTTATTTTAACTTTATAGAGGATATCATTAAATAATAGTCTAATTCACAAAGTTACATTTTATAATTTTTGGAAGAAGCTGTATTTGAAGTTCTGTCTAAATAACTTTAGACCACTTTTTTTGTGAAATTCGATGTACTACAGTTAAACATATGACAGAAATGCCAGTACTCAAAGACAAAAGCTGAATTTTGCAACAGTTTTTAAGTACATATGCTGTCAGAGGTTGACAGTAGTGTCTACTATCCTGTCATCAGTTTTGTTAGTATAAAATAAATGCAAGGTAAGAAAAACCAATTTTTTTTTTTTAATTTTATCTATATGGGCATGTACTGTAATTAAAAGTGCTTTCCAAAATTGCATTAAATGTTTGGTAGTACTTGCTGGAATATTTTAAATTTTAGATCTGAAAACTGACACATGTACTAAGTATCAGTGTACTGATAGCGAGGGGTGTATTTTTAATTGGTAGTTATAATTTTGAATTTTTTTTCAGAAAACACATTTAACGTCATCATGGACTTGAATTCCGAAGAAGAAGAAATTAGAAAATTAGAAGAAAATTTAAAACGGAAAAAAGAAGATAGACTAAGAAAACGTTTAAAAACGATTAATTCTTCGCACTTTGAAGAGAATGTATGTTCCTCAAAAAAGGTATAAATACGTAACTTGACTGCAGCGTTCCAGATAAACATGTCTGATAGTGTTTGCACCTGCAGAAGTGTACTAAATCTATGAAATTTTAGAGTAAAAAACATTAAAAAACTCCATTTTTTCTTCCAAATTATGCGAAATAAAATATTTTTCGACCGAGTATTAGACTGCTGCTATCTTTATAGACCCAAAGCGCTCTGTGATTAACAATTGAGGCTATTTTAATTTACATGGTCTTCGCAAAAAATTTTTTAAATGTGTAGGATACATAAATAAATATATAAATGTCATTAATTAAATACTTTGTCAGCCGACAGATCTAATACAAACAGAAGATACTTCAAACAAACAAGCTTTTGCATTTCGGAATAATCAGCAAACTAGAAAAAGTACCAAAGTAAATACACACCAGAAGAAGCGGATTCGTAAAGAAAAGGATGGAAAAGGAAATGAAGGTTTTTCGAAAGAGGTGAGTTTGTTTACCAAAATATATGATATTTACTTTGGTTTTTAAATTTATGCGACATATTACAATCTGAACATACCAACTATTTTAATGAATCAAAATGAAATAAATAATGCATTTGGACGTTTTGTTGAATCGATAAAATGTACTTGAATTTAGTCGATATCAATAGTTAATGTTTGAAGCAAATTCTTGCGTTAGCAATTCTGAATTATTAGCAAAAAATGCTAGTACCTCAGTTTACAGTTGTCAGTTTTGACATGGGCACACGTAACAAATGTGTTGATTGGTTAAGACGATGGTAGCTGCTATATACTTATGTTTCTTTGAAAATCAGTTTTGCCATTATAAAATTTTAACTAGTTTGCCAACCTGTTAAAAAAATCACATTTATTATCAGTCACCCGGTACTCCCGGTAGTTATTGATGTACCAAGGATAAAAAATTGCGTATTATACACATGTCTGCACTTTGGTAGTCGAGGACAGCAAACAGGCGAGATTATAACGCGCACTTTTTTACAGAGGTGCAAATTACATTTTTCTATGATCTTCTCGGTTTTAGAAAATAAAAAATCAATACAATACAAGGTTTTTAAGTACTACAATTCTTTATTTTAATCAAAAAACTAAATTCAAATTTAGTCTCCAGGACTAATGTTAACTGTGCAATTAGTGCATTTGTTTATATTAATTCCTGCTGTCGAATAGGACGTAAGAGACAAATTCTGATTTCTTGTCCTAGGTTTATACGCAACATTATTTCCAATTCTAATCTGTTGAAGTGCTGTTGATTTTTTTACCTCATGTTTCAGCATTTCATAAAAGTTTTATATTGATTTTTATAAAAGATACGTGACTTCCGTGCCTGTAAGTATTTTGTAGTTGCACGCGCCACCTACTGCAATTCTAGAGATGTATCATTTTGTTAAATTTTTATGATTATTTTTTGTTAATCATTAATATTCACATGGATATACAAGCTGACAGATTACATTAGAAATGTAATTAAATAATAAAAAAAAAAACAAGGAATACGAGTATTAACTACTTTGTAGGTCTATACTTTAAAACGAATTATATGTAGTTTTTCTCGATTTATTCATGTTTTTGATTCTGTTTCAGACTTTCGAAAAACGAGGAGGAACTACCGACAAGGGCAAAAAATACGAAGATTTGGTTACCGCTAACGTCGCACTACAAACGGTAAGCGACAGTAAAATAAGAGATTTCCGCATTTCTTCGAACGATAAAAATTTTGGTGATTTTGATGACGTAGTCATTGAAATTAAGACAGACAGAGGAATAAAAACAAAAGCATTGCAATTAAAACACAGTAACAAAAAAAGACAATTAACTACAAAGCAGCTGGCAGGCAAAAAGGGAGACTTTAGTTTAATCAAATATTTCAAATCTGCTCAACAGGTTCAAGGCGAAGTGCAAGAATTTATATTATTCACCACAAATACATTTAAAACTTCAGAAGAAACGAAATTTAAACTAGAAGGGGAAGAGTTTTATGTGAAGGTCAGTAAAAAGACAGTTTCAGGAGAGGATTTCGACGTTTTAAGAATTTCTGAAAATATAAATTATTATCATACATTTCACATAGTAGAGGACGAATGGACTAAACAAAATCCTGAAAAAATTCGGCAGTACCAAACATACTTCGAGTGCTTTCGTCTTTACACAACCCAAGAACGTTTTGAAGCTCTTACAAAATCAACAATGAATAAATTTACTGACATGTTTTGCTCTTACGAAGAAACTTTCATGAAGTACGTCGAGGTCATATCAGAATGGAGTATGCGAGATGGAAAAAAAGAAAAGCTAAGCAAAAGAATGATCCAACGTGTCATCGCACTTCGTTTGCTTTCTTCTCAGATTGAACCGTTTGTTTTTGGTTCAGTCACAGACGAAATGAAAATACTTCGAGCGGCTATTTGTCTGTTCGACATTACGTTGTTGGAAAAAAAAGGCAGCAACGCAGTTAAAAATTTGTGGGGAGATTTGAACCAAAACATTGACCTCAAAGAACTAAACAAAGTTCGATCACTATATTCTCTTTCTTCTAATTACATAAGTAGTGTCGAAAATGTGGATGCAAATTTGTTGACACAATTGTTATGGCTGATGGAGAAATGTCCGCTCATTGTGAAAGAACACGTCAATATGGAGAAAGCTATTAAGCTCTGTCCAGATGTAAAATTTATTATACTCGGCGAGGGAAAATATGACGAATGGATGACAGAACACTCTGTGTTTCAAAACTTGTCCAACTTGGAACAAGAAATCGAATTGTATGAAACAGTATTGCGAAAACTCACCATTTCTATACAAGGCAAAGAACCACGTAATTTGGTGACTGCTTTCGAAAAAAATGAAGAAATTTTCAAGCATGTTACTGTGGAAAAACTTTTAGAGATGACAAATGGTCCATACTATATAGATGGAAAAAAGGAAGATTTTCCCAATCTTTATATCGATAGATATTTGTCAGTCAATATTATAAACACTGAATATTTAGAACATGTTGATCGAAATACAGTTATCATTTTAAATTGCGAAGGTAATTCTCAGCAATTGAAAATATCTAAAAAGCATACTCTAACAGACATCGAGGGTTTTTTAAGTAATACAGACCCCAAAATTTTTGATAATTCAATTTTTATAAGAAGTGAAAAAAATTGCAGTGACTCTGATTTTCAGAAAATATGTTCTAAAGGAGCAGCATTCCACACTGTACACTATTTTAAATTTTCCAACGATCAAAATTTAGAATGGATTGAAAGCAAAGGATCTGTTAATGAACTGCGAAAATATAAATTACCTAGTCGTTCCAAAAACGAAAACGAAATTTGGTCTTCCGAATTCAGCAACAACATAAATCTAATAACAGCTGACCCAGGAATGGGCAAAACCGAGTTAACGAAAAGTCTAAAAAACAACTGTTGTGCGAGATATTGGACCGTGATTCTGAGCGCCCAAGATGTTATGTCTTTCTTTAAAAATTCACCAAAGTCTGAAAAATCAGCAGAATTACAATTCGAAACATTTATTTTAAACGAAAAATATCGAGACCTCGCTGGGTTGGATCGAGAATTCTTTACAATGTGTTTAAAGCAACGAAATGTGGTTTATGTATGGGACGCTCTTGATGAAATATTTACTCAGTATTTAAAGTGTACTTTAGATTTCATTCTTATGTTATCAGAAAAAGGTTTCATTCAGTGGGCTACTGCAAGGCAACATTTGAGATCTTCTCTTGAAGAAAAATTTGATACCCTGTCAGTGGGTATCAATCAGCTCAGCGAAGTCGAGCAAGAGGACTACATTAAGAAACGTCTTAACAATTTTATTAAGCCTGTAGATATGAAACTAGTCATCGACAAAATTAAATCCACGTTTGCATTTACAAAACATATAGATATATTGGGAATCCCTCTTCAAATTTTTATGCTTACAGACGTTTTACTTCAAAATAAGGAAAAATATTCAGAGTTATTACATAATAAATTTCTCCTGACTGACATGTATCGTTACTTTATTGAAGGAATATTTAAGTTTTTCTACGAAGGCAAAGTTCCTGTAAACAATGATTTTTGGCAAGAAAAAGTGAGGAAGGACAAGGAAGAAAAATTGAAACAATATCAAAAGTTGGCGCTCAAAGTAATATTTCCTGAAAGTGTTTTGAAACAATTAAATATAGATTATTCGCAAAAGATAGATTCTGTTTCTGAAGATTTCGCAACTGTTGGTATCGTGACTGGACTACAAAATGGCATCCCGCAATTTGGACATGCTTCGTTTGCCGAATATTTTGTTGCCTTGTATTTTTCTAGAAATTTTGAAATGATACACAGGGACATATTTTTTGATGCGAAGTATAATAACGTACGTTTCTTCTTCGACATGTTAACTGGCAAAAATTCACCAATCCACATTGCGATTCTGTATAGAAATTTTGATCAGGTGGAGAACTTTGAGGACGAAATAATAAAACGTAAAGATAAGTGTGGAAGAAGTGCCTTACATCTCATTTGTTCTTGGGGTCGAAGACATAGACGTTTAAAAGTACAAACAAAATTGATGGGTTGTGTTATCGAAGCAAACGAGGAAGTCATGAATGCGTCATTAGAAACGAAGGAATATTCTAAAGCGTTATTGTTTTTGTTAGATAAATGTGAAATATTAGAACAAGATTTTTTACATAAAATCACACCCTTAGCATGGGCACGGGAATGTGAAAGTTTGGGAGCGGAACTGGAATTATTGCAACCATGCAAATTACAACTGAAAGATTCGTATAGTCCAACAGACAGAATTAATATTTTATTTTTTGCCGCTCTGTACGGATACGCAGAAGCGTTTAAAATATTATTTTCATCTTCGAGTATTTCTAATAATGAAGTAAATTTTAGTGTAGAATTCGATGGTAGTACGCCTCTTATAATGGCTTCTCAAAAGGGGCATGTAACAGTTGTAGAGTATTTAGTCAAACGCAAAGCCAAAATCAATCGCGCTGATAAATATGGTCGGACACCGCTTTACGCAGCTTCCTTTCAAGGTCACCAAGAAATTGTCGAATTCCTGGTGAAATACCGGGCCGAAATCAATTGCGTTGATAAAAGTGGTGAGACACCGCTTCACGCTGCTTCTTTTCAAGGTCACGAAAAAATTGTCGAATTCCTGGTAAAATGCGGAGCCGAAATCAGTCCCGCTGATAATGATGGTCAGACACCGCTTCACGCAGCTTCCTCTCGAGGTCATGAAAAAATTGTCGAATGCCTGGTGAAATGCGAAGCCGAAATCAATCGTGCTGATAAATATGGTCAGACACCGCTTTACGTAGCTTCCTCTCAAGGTCACGAAAAAATTGTCGAATGCCTGGTGAAATGCGGAGCCGAAATCAATCGCGCTGATAATGATGGTCAGACACCGCTTTACGTGGCTTCCTCTCGAGGTCACGAAAAAATTGTCGAATGCCTGGTGAAATGCGAAGCCGAAATCAATCGCGCTGATAAATATGGTCAGACACCGCTTTACGTAGCTTCCTCTCAAGGTCACGAAAAAATTGTCGAATGCCTGGTGAAATGCGGAGCCGAAATCAATCGCGCTGATAAATATAGTCAGACACCGCTTTACGTAGCTTCCTCTCGAGGTCACGAAAAAATTGTAGAATGCCTGGTGAAATGCGGAGCCGAAATCAATCGCGCTGATAAATATAGTCAGACACCGCTTTACGTAGCTTCCTCTCAAGGTCACGAAAAAATTGTCGAATGCCTGGTGAAATACGGAGCCGAAATCAATCGCGCATATGTTTATGGTTGGACACCGCTTTACGAAGCTTCCTCTCGAGGTCACGAAAAAATTGTCGAATGCCTGGTGAAATGCGGAGCCGAAATCAATCGCGCTGATAACGATGGTCGGACACCGCTTTACGTGGCTCCCTCTCGAGGTCACGAAAAAATTGTCGAATGCCTGGTGAAATGTGGAGCCGAAATCAATCGCGCTGATAATGATGGTCAGACACCGCTTTACGCAGCTTCCTCTCAAGGTCACAGAAAAATTGTCGAATACTTAGTAAAATGTGGAGCAAAACCTTGCGTTTAATAAAATTAATAGGATGGTTGAACTCGAATAGTCACCAAAAATCTGTCGAATGATTAGTTCAACGGTGATCCAAAACTCCTCTACGCCGGCCCAAACTTTCAATATTTTATTACCAACCGCCGCCTCATTTTTTTATTGTTATATTGGTGATGATATTAGGGACGGTAATTTTGCTCTATCTATTAAAAAGAATGTTACCTTAACCTTTGAGAGATATTATTACATACTTTAATTATAGGATTTATCAAAAAAAAAAAAAATAATAAAAAAAAACTGAATTTGTTTCGATCGTATTTCAGGAGCGAGAAATGTCCTGTCTTGGACCAATTTAACCTAGTTTGATTAAAATTAAAATTTATTTCTACAATAATTTTTCGTAATACAGTGTTTTTCTTTATTTGTCGAATATGTTTCACTATTTGACACCGTTTTCCCGTATTTGCCATTTTGATATCATATGCCAAAATTTTTTCAATTTATCGCAGATACTTTCCCTCTGTTCTAATAAATATTTTGTATTTTAGCTACAAGGGCCCAAGTAATTTATTTTAACAAATATGTCAATCTATCATCACCTATAACAAATTATTTAAGTTCAAAATTTCATTTCTGTTTAGGCAATCCCCACAAATTATTGCGTCAAAAGCATTGTGTACTTGGATATTGCATATTTAATTCGTCTTCGTTTCTAGGATGACTTCTTTTAATAATCACTTTCCACTGATTAAACAGTTTCCCAATTAGGTTTGATCTGTAGATTTCAAAGGGGGCTGCACACGTCATTACCACTTTTCGACCAAGTTTTGAGCTACTGGGTTAAGAAAAGTCCTATATCGAGGTAGAAATACAAGAAAAACTCCATGGGTTTGTATCAATTGTTGAATTTATTCAGTTCTGTGAAATCTTACATTGTTCATTAAGATATGTCCGTGCGCCGCTAATACTATCTTCTTGTAAGTGATTCAATAAGGTTTTAAAAAATCGTAATCGACTAATTACGACCTGTCAGCTGACCTTCAACTTTGTTTGCGCTACAGTTACTTGGTGATCTTCCGTAAGAGTTAAACACAGTCTTTATCAATCCAATTGCATATTTGTTCTTTCTGTTGTTCAGTTAACTTTTTCGGGCGCTGCCCAGCACTTCTTTCTTCACTTGATTAGTCGAGTAAAATTTTCTAACAGTGTTTAGTAGAATATTAAAGTGCTGTCCACATTGGCTGATGTCGACGAAATTATTTTGCCAAAAAAAAGAAACTGTTTTGACACAAGGTAAAATAATCTGAGAAACATAGAGCACCATTTAATAACAGTAGGAAATGGATTTGAGAATTAGTGGAACACAATTAACGAAAGACGAAAATTAAAAGAAGTACACTATTTTATGATGTATATCTTTGTATACATAGGTACCTACCTATATCCTTCATCTGTCTTCAGATATTCTGAAGTTTATTAATTTCTTTATTTATCTATTCTTATATTTAAACATATTCTTGAGATTCACGTAATTTTTAAATCTATGGAAAATATAACCACAAGCCAAATAAGTCACTTTCTTTTATGGTCACATATTTCACTTGAATAAACTAATTTTGACGATTTCTTTTATAAATATTTTCTTTGTAGTTTTTTCTGAAGTATCATTTTCGGATTTTTAACTTTCACCAAATTTATTTTCTTCTAATTTTGAACTTTCGATAAGTTATTTTGATAGTGTCCCAAATTTTAATTAGTTGACGACCACACATTAACTTGATCGGTCACTTTTTTACCAAAACTTTTCAACTATATTTTCGGCCAAACTCAGCTAAGCTCCAACTTTTACTATTACTTAGGTGAGTCATCATCTAAATATATTTGGCGTTATGCAATTATGAAATTTCAGTACAAATGTCTTTCGTGAGGCCTTCACAACAATACGAAGAGAACTGCAGCAAAAACTAACGTACGTCCTACTATCCAATTTGAAAAATGCAAACAAAACACATAAACTAAGGTAAGTAAAAATATTTTGAAATTAACTTTATAAATTTGATTTAACATTTCAGTACAGGCGTTTCCATAACTTTTAAAAAAATTGGAACCAAAACTTCTGTTATTCGTCAAGAACTAATATTGGAACGATGTTTTGAAAAATACTTCCGGTTCAAAACTAGGTAAATTTCCCTACCAAAGTACTTATTTTTATTTATCACATTTTGTATTATAGACTTTTCCTGCCTGCCAAAAAAACGAATTTAAAAACAGCAACTGGTGTTGTAATTTCGTATCACCACAAAATATATCTTAGGCCGAATCAGGTTGCTAACCTCAAATTTTGACAAATGGGTTTAATACCGCTAACCGACCTCAGGACAATATCAACAGAAATGCGTTTTACAGTTTTATTATTATTATTATTAATATCTTTCCCAACAGTAAAAAAACAATGAACAGGGAAAGATTCAACAATGTTTGAAAATTTGTCTGTCACATCACAACTCATCGATATATTATTGAAGAAACGACATATACCAACTATAGGCGACATCATGAGTAAATTACTTCTGCAAGTGGAACAGTAAAACATATTTTGCCGTCGAGTGTTATGCCTGGGAAATTTTATAATTTTAAAATTTCACAATATCACAAAATATTTAAAATTGCATTAAAGCATACGCTAAATGAATTCTAAACCAGAGAATTTAGGCGAAATTCCTGCACTATCAGCAGGAACTTCATCTTGTCATCGTAGTGGCTACAAATTGTCCATACATTCCAAAATCACTGCATAGAAAACAGTATGGTGCTATAGAAAATCATCTTAATCAGATTAATATTATTTACATGACCAAACCGTTCACAGGTAACATCATTTAACATATTCTTAACACATTCTCTTTGATTGAGATAGTTTTCCATCGCACAATTAATTCTATTTCTAATATGAGTTTGATAATAACTTTATTATTTGTAAGTAGTGTCGTAAATATTTGCTCTAATGTGTAATTTATTTCGTCTGTGTGTCTTTTTTGTCAGGATCGCCCAACGGATGCAGCATTCATGTCTAACAAATGTCAGCGCTAGATTCGTTGTTCACGCATTCAAGACGCGTTTTTGTATTTGCATCTGTTCGGCGCTTCGAGCACAAAATATTTAAAAATTTTGAAATGTAAAGTGCCATGATACCTTTTAACTAAGTACTTGTACTCAGAATTAGCAAAAAACGACGTCAAGGCTGTTTTCCATTGTCGAATATTTTTATCACTATATAGATCCAATGGGTTTGCATTACAAAAATGAACATTTTGTACCAAGTCGTGGTTGTGGTTTAAATTTGTTCATAGTGTTTTAAGCATTTCACAACGATTTCCCAAAAACATACTCTTTTGACAAACTGACAAAGTTTGATTCAGAGAGGAAGCGGGAAATTTACTGCGACCAAATACTGAAGATGCTCAAGCATGGCAACTACGAAACTATCTTTCTTCTTGACAGTTGGTACACAGATGAAAAAACACTTAACAAAACCAAAGCACGTATTTGAAGCAGGTTTTCTTTTGGGAATAGTGTTGTTGATAGAAACTGTAAAAATCTGAATTGGAACAAAAATACCGAAGAGGGACTGCAACCTTGTCGTATTTTCTTACTTAATCATAGTTTTGTCGGTTTATTAAAAAAAGTATCATGACATGTGAGGGATATTTTTACTTTGTAGTTGAGATATGTGCATATATTGTAGTTTATAAGTTCCTATGTTGTAAATAAGTATGTAAATAATGAATTAATGTGTACATAAGTTGAAATAGATTGCTGTTTGTTATCAAACATTAGAATAAAATACATTTTTTGGAATTTTGATTAAAAAAGTTTAAAATTGAAAAGCCAAAAACTGAAGACTGAAAACTTGAAAAATCCAAAAACTGGAAAAATTCACTTTGAAAAAAAAGAAAAATGATGGAATCCGAACAGTGAAAAGCGAAAAATTTAAAAAATAAATAAAACAAAAACCGAAACGAAAAATTGTAATTAAAAAAATGGAAGAACTGAAAAATTGAAAACTCATGTAGCAACTTTCTTGAAACATTTTTCTTTGAAATGCTTCTTGCAAATTACAGTAAAATCGTTATTTTGAATGCATCTGCAAGTGGATCGGAAAAGTGTCTACCGTAAATTTGACTAAAAAATACTTACTGTAGTGTTTTTTGAAGAACTCGAACCACTCTTTTCTAGTGTTGGGGTCTTGAGGTATTTCACACAAAGGTAAGTCTTTATTTTTGTACAAAGCACAGCGTCTACCCATTGTTACAGAAGTGAGAAACTGAACACGAAAAAATTGTTAAATCAAACACGAAATGTGAAAAATGGAGCAAGAAAATAAACTGAGAAAATTACGCTGAGAATATAATTCATGTAACACATGATCCCATTTCTTCCAATAGAATTTGTTCATGCCCTTAGTTACATGTCTATCACAGCGATAATAATTTTATTGCCTTATTGTGGTCTGTTGCTACCTAAATTTAAAAACTGTCAAATTGACAAATTTTAGAATTTCATAAATTTTTTTGTCTTTTATGGCTTGCCAACGTTGGGGGCAAGCTCAAAACGACGAAATCAATTCTATTATCAAAAAATGTGTTCATTTATTATATTCTCATGTTGAATATAACTCGTGATATGATTAATAATCGAAGATATGGCTCGTGAAACCGAAGCAGCACATTCAACTCGTGCTTCGCACTCGTTGAATCTGCAGCTCGGTTTCACTCGAAATATTATCGATAATAATCATATCACTTGTTATATTATAATTGACAAGAACATTTACGTTTCCCGCCAAGGATTGACAGTAACTGATTAGAATTGGCAGACAGATGTCGCCACTTTCTAAACGTCACGGCCTACTTTTTGAAAACCGAATTTTCTGCAAAGTGAGCAGGTCTTATGACGCATTAATTCAGTCGGCCTTGCGTTACATCCTCCCCCTCAGGACCAAAAGTATCGTCCCAATCATTGGTTCTCGACCGCGGGGTTTTTCCTAGGACGACCCCGTTTCCGAATGGGCATGATGGGTGCAGGCGGCGCGCCTTCCTGGGTGGTACTGAGGTAAGGTCTTAGTTGGGAGCTATGGTATGTCCCCAGTGGTTGCGAAGGATCTGTGTTGGTTCCGATCTCGTATGAAGTGGGACCACGGGCTTGAAGTACTCGATAGGGCCCATCTCGTCGAGGTGCAAATTTAGAGCTTATTCCAGCGCGGGTTTTGCTGAGACTGTGAGTTGTTACAAGTACTAAGTCACCGGGGTTGTACTCTGGGACGGGCCTTCTTCCTTTGTCAGCCTGGCACTTTTGACGAAGCTGTTCCTTTTCGTGAGTTTCACGGGCTTGACTGAGGCCCCGTAGGTCCTGGGTGACGTCGCGGATGGTCCGAGGCTCGCGTCCGAACATTAGGTAGGCAGGGGTGAATCCGGTGCTGCTGCAAATGGCAGTACTCATGGCGAATCGGATTGCGGGGAGCTTATCGGGCCATTGGGTATGCGGATTTTTCCCTATCGGATTGGCAATGAGTGTTTTCATATCCCTATTTTTCCTTTCTATTGGATTTGCCTCTAGGTGATACGTTGGGGTGAAGGACTGCGTGACTCCCAGACAGTAGAGGGCCTTCTGGAGTACAGCGCTGACAAATTGGGTGCCGTTGTCGCTGATGATGCGTCTGGGCACGCCATAGCTCAAAAATACTTCGTTGATGAGGGTCCAAGTCGACCCACTTGGTTGCGTAGTCGCCAATGATGTATGTCCACTGGAAACCCTCTTCGGAGGTAGGAAGTGGTCCGAATAGATCTATGGAGATGACCCCCATCCGTTGTTGCATCACGGGCGTCTAAAGTAGGCCTGCTGGTTTGAGGTTTGAAGGCTTGTATTTCTGGCATTCGGGGCAGAATTTGACGTGTTTTCCTACCCAGTAATAGCGCTGGGTTATGCGGGATAGGGTGCGTTCTACATCTAGATGTCCGGCTGTTGGAGCATCGTGATATTCCTTAAGGACGGTGATACGCTTGTCCTTAGGAACTGCGTACTGGGCTTCTTCTCTATCGCTGTCTGGCCCATAGCGTTAGAGAACTCCTTGGGTTAGTAGGTATCCCTTGGAAGTCCAGGGTTGGGTTTCTTCGGCTTTCATCGATGATAGGGCCCCGATGATCGTTTTCAGTTCGGGATCTTCTAATTGTTGTTGGCGGAGTCTGTAGGGAGGTCGATCTCTACCACATTAACCTGGCATGAACTAGGGACGATCGGTGGTCGAGAAAGTGTATCGGCGATCACGTTAGCCTTCCCTAGTGTGTACTGAACAATGAGGTTGTATGGTTGCAGCTGTAAGGCCCACCTTGCGAGGCGGCCCGTGGGAGTTTTTAGTGTCATCAGCCATCGAAGAAGTTGATGATCGGTGATGACAACCACGGAGCTTTCTTCAACGTAACCGCGGAATTTCGTCAGTGCCCAGACGACCGCAAGAGCTTCGCGTTCCGTGGTAGAATAGTTTCTCTCTGCGTCCGTTAGGAGTCGACTGACATACTCGATAGGCCGTTTGTCGTTTCCCTCCCCCTGGAGGAGAGCTATGCAACGAGTGCATAGGCGCTAGCGTTAGTGCGTAGCACAAATGGTTGGCTGAGATCGGCCTGTCGTAGAATAGGGGCCGATGTCAACTTCTCCTTTAAAGAATTGTAGGCGGCTTCCTGGGATGACCCCCATTCCCAGATAGCGTCCTTCTTGGTTAACTGGGTGAGAGGCCTAGCGACCTCTGCAAAGTGCGGAATGAATTTTCTAAACCAGGAGCACGTTTGAAGAAACATCTGGAGCTGCTTCAGGTTTCTTGGAGCTGCTCGTTCGAGTAAGGCAGTGACTTTGTCTTCTGCAAACGATATTCCTTCTGGTGATACATAGTGTCCGAGATACCGAGTGCGTTGGCATCAGAATGTGCACTTTGGCCGTCTGAAGCGTAATTGGTATAGACGCAATCGTTCCAGTACCTGCCGTAGATCTTTCAGGTGTTTCTCGAAGTCCTTGGATATGACAATTAAGTCATCAAGGTAGCCGGGGAGCGTAACATCTGGGAGTCCTGCTTTGAATCTATCAATTAGGCGCTGAAACATGGCTGGTGCATTTCGTAGTCCAAACGGCATTCGAGTGAAACGGTACAGGCCAAATGGACATATGAAGGCGGTCTTATCTCGGTCTTCCGTCCTGACTCGAATTTGCCAATAACCAGCTTGTAGGTCGAGGGTGGTTATATGGCAACTTTCCCCAGTTGAATGGAGGAGGTCATCCATCCTCGGGAGTGGATAAACATCTGGAGTCGTGATCGAGTTCAGTTTACAGTAATCGATGCACAACCGAATGGTACCGTCTCGCTTGGGCACCATGACAACGGGGGATGCCCAGGGGCTATCGCACTCCTCTATGATGTCTGCCTCAAGCATTCCGTCGATTTCTTTGCTGGGGTCAGCCGATATGGTAGCTGGGAGATGGCAGTGTGTTCCCCAGTGGGAATAACATGCTCCAAATACGGGGTTGGTGGTCTTTGCTCTCGAAAGACATCTTCGTACTCCTCGAGTATTTGGTTTAAGTTTCCGCGCTGTCCCTCTGATAGCGATTGGGCTTCGTTTGCGCGGAGGTGTACGGAGAACAGGTGAACTCATGTAGTTCTACGGGGTTTCTCTGGGAAGAGGTAGTTCTGTTCGGTACTGACTGCGTCCCAAGCTAGGCATGCATCGTGCATCATATACTCAATGGCATAAGGAGCCTGATACACGTGCCAGCGACCTTGTGGGGCTTTCTTAGCAATCGGCGGCGGTGGACCAAAGCAATTGTCATCGTCTACGTCCATTATTTCTGGAGCTATCTTTCAAGGGTTGGATGACTCCTCCAGAGAGTCGAGTGGATCTGAAGGTCGCATGGACGCTAGGGTAGTTTGTACTTTGGCGTCAGTGGGCACCTTTGCATTGTAGACCGCTTGCTCTACGAATGGAGATTCTCGTTGGGGTTCACCTTTGAAGTGGTAGCTTCGTCCTGCTAGGTCCAAGACTAAGCGTACGTCTTCGATGAAGTCGGCGCCTAGCAATGTCTTCGTACCTTCATGACCCGAAATCATGGCGAACGTGGTAGGAATATTTCGGCCATCTAGACTGACCTGCGTTCTTACCGTTGGGACCCTTGTGGTCCAGGTCACTCCATCGGCTAGTGTGACCTCTACATTTTCTTCGCCCGCGTGAAGTCCTCTAGCGGTCAACACCTTGAACAGGCTGGCGCTTGCGACACTTACGCATGCGGCGGTGTCGAGGTAGGCAGTTGCCCAGGTGTCTTCTATTTTAATACGGATCGCAGGGCGGACTCGTGGCTATAACCTGACCGTATCAACGGCGCAGAACCCCAGTGGCTCTGCAGGAAGCGCCGATACAGCCGTTACTGCCTTTGAACTGCAGGTCGGGCAATTCCTGCGATATACTCCGGGCTTGTTGCACCCGTAACATCGGATGATCTGGTCTTCCTGGTTCTGGGACATCTTTTACCTTTTTTGCTTGCGACATTCCTGTGCCGTGTGTCCGAAACACTTGCAGAACTGGCACTTGATTCTTGTTCTCTCCTTTCTCTCATTGGCGGGTGCGGTTGCGGCGCTGGCTGCCGCTGGCGTGACTCGTTTGGTGGTTCCACTCTCGCGCTCGTTTTCCTCGACATCCCTGCACCTTTCGAGCAGTTCTTGAAAGGTGGCGATATCAGTGCGAGGAACCCGATCGCGGATCTTGTAGCGTAGTAGACCGTAAATGACATCAAGTTGCCACTGCTCGTCCAATTCGCGGGACATCTGCCCCAACCGCTCTCTCTGTAGAGTTACATATTTGTCGGTGGGCAGGTCTTCTGGCTGGGTATAATTAAATACAGGGTGACTGCGAAATAAGTGCAAATATTTTAACCACGGCATCCCCCACCCTAGTAGAGTCGAAATATAGAAAAAACAAATTAAAAATCGAATGGGACAAAACCCCCATGAACCACCCTCGATACGAAGGCACTGAGCCACCTTGTAAACAGAGTTGGAAAAACGTTCGAATAAAAACGACCTAAACACTTTCAGTTTCAATTAAAAGTAAAACCGACTTTTTGCTGCTTATCATTCGTTCATTCATTTATTCATTCATCGTTAAAGGTCAGTGCGAAAATTTTTTGGTAATGCTTCATGATGATCAACTTTTGATTCTGACGGATGTTTGGTCCTTGCCACAACGATTTTGCATTGTTTATTGGAACAAAAATAAGAGCAACTTAAAATGTTACTACCTTTTTATAAGAAATGTTGAAAATGTTGTCCTTGACTAGCCATACAGGCGTTAGAGCGTCGCAAGATGTTTGTTGATAGGTAAAAAAAGACCGGAGTAGCGGCTGCCACTTTCACTTGTTGTTGAAGCTCTTCGATAATTTCTGGACACTGTTGATTTTCACAAACGAACTGTTTCATCCAACCGATACACATTTATCGAAAACCGTCTCTTGCAATCGTACTTGTTGACGAGCATGTGGAGTTTGGTCGGACAAAAAGTGAGTTACACAACGTGGACAATCAGCGGGCTCCAAACCCTGTACTTTGTCAACATGGTTTGGATGTGGCCGTATTCTTTTAATGTAGGATGCACTACAAGCTGTGAAAATCCAACTTCTTCTTTCTGTCCTATCACGGCCACGATCGTGAGTTTGAAGTTGAAGGTACCATGATCTCGGAGTTGCTGTACTACTGATGTAAATGTTCGCGCACCAATTACCATATCGACACAATCTGCATGGGAAAACTCCACCATAAACCGATTTCACCGACCGCTCGATGCTAACTGGCCCTTTTCGTGTTTTTCACGTTGCAATTAAAAAAGTGCCTGATAAAGTCACTTTTTTGGTTCTTAATCCGACTCGCTCTGTTCCATTCATTGTAGTAATTATGTAGGTCACAAAACAGTCCAGCGGCGCGTACACCAATTTACATTTAATTTCAAACAATTTTTTCTAGACACTGCTACTACTTAGGACCGTGAATTTTACCCAGTGACATAATCATATTGTGCGCTATTCCCCATTTTTTTTGCATGTATTTCGCAATCACCTTGTATTTCGAGGAAGAGGCGGTGATTTGCACGGCGCGGAGCGAAAGCTTTTCGAATCAACTCGATGGCGTGTTTCCACGATTCGATCGTGCTCTTCACCCCGTTCCACCATTGGTTGGCCTCTGCTGTAAGCAATAGCGGTAATCCCGCTATGGCCGCTTGGTCGCTGATTCCTTCCATATCCTTGAAGATATTTGCGGCCGTAATGAACTCCTCGACAGCAGCGTGACTACGGGTGCCGTCGAAACGTGCCGCGCATTGGGTGAGGTGTCGCGTATTGCTTTTGAGCGATGTCACCTCCGGGGGTGGTAATCAGGTGGTAATCAGTTATTCGATTGAGCAATTCCCGAAATTGCTCTTGGGTCATCTGAACTGCTGTCATCGTGGGGTGGAGACGCGGGCTTTTTCGCGGTATCGTGAAAGGCTGATGGAATCTCCAAGGTCCAATATTGGCCGTATTTAGAGCGCGCTTATCGGAGCCGAGGGATTATTCCAATTCAAAACCCAGTTCGAGTACTGCCTTTTCCAAATAAAACCTTGGGTCGACCACCGAGTAGTGCGGTTCAAGGGGATGAATTGAATTCGCCTGGTGGTCGTTCCGAGGGCCTCTTCTAGTCCGTTTGAATTCCACGGTGCGTAGGCTGTTGCCGAGAGCGTCATCATTCGAGCGTAAATGGCACTGAGCGCGTGGGTAGCGGACACAGTGTACTAACGAATGCGCGCGGAGTGGGGCCGTGGTTGAGCTTCAGCGTGGCGTGGGATGATGGCGTTAGGTGTTCCGTTACAACAAAAAGTTTTTCCGGTGATTCTAAAATATGCTTTTCTAAGTAGAAAAAGTACGTCCCCAGATGTAAAAATGCTTACCGGATTACAGCAGGCGCGACAAAACATAGTTCCTTCTTGAAGAATAAGTTCAGGAAAAGGTTTAATCCACAAATTAATTTCAGTTATCTACATATTGACACACCTCTATTGCTTTAAATGCTTAAATGCAAACGCACGATGAAAAATGATAGGATAACGTCCCTTCGACCACCATAAAACATACCATTTATACACTTAAGTAACGAACAAAAATATTGGGAATGAACGGGATTTCCAAAAGTAAGTAGGACCCGAATTGACCTGGAAGGATGGCTTAACACCCAATGGTTCCTCCAAACTACCATAAAACCCAAACCTTTCTCAGTTATTTGAAGCTCAGGACAATATTTGCAATATGATTAATGAAATTTCGTCTTTCTAGATAAATGCCGATAGAATGACAATTTTTCTTTAAATTAGCACAAAAATTGATAAGAATCCAAAATATGCACCCGTTACGTGAAATATGCAGTAGATGGCAAATATATGCAAATATGCAATTTTTTTTATATCTGTATTCATTTTTAATTAGCATGATTCGTTCACATATTAAATATCAAGACTTATATGCAAAAAATAACGGATATGCAAATTTCATAAAATCCGCTCTCTACTGAGGACAATATGTATTTGCAATATGATTAATGAAATTTTGTTTTTTTAGATAAATGCCGATGGAATGACAATTTTTTTTTCAAATTAGCACAAAAATTGATAAAAATGCAAAATATGTACCCGTTACGTGAAATATGCAGCAGAAGGCAAATATATTATTATTATTATTATTATTAAGAATTACAATGTCCAACAGGCGAACCCAATTATAGGACAAGGATAATCTTCGATTTGAATTAAGCATATCTGAAAGTCGTCTTTTTGATATCAGCTTTGCTGCAACAAAATATATCAAGACCATCTTGTTCCATGCGAGAATATTTTTTTATCATCTTATGCACAGGAGACATCTATCTGCAGTGCGTTAGATTTTGGTGTTTGTAGCTGAAAAACATTCAGATTTCGGAAATTGAACGATTTGAACTGAAAGAACAATTTGGACAACAGATCACTGCAGTCAACAACTTCTGATACAAGCTGGTGAAGAAAGTTGATTGAGAAGTATTCTCGCCTACTGGATAGAGATGGAAGGTCGACATCCCTAAGGAGAAAGCTATGATCATACCCTCTGGGCGGATATGAACCAGTACGAAAATAGAATAGAGACTTTGCAAATCGACGTTGCACCTTTTCTACGGAAGTTGTATGGATATTATATATTGGAGACCATATAAAATTTGCATATTCTAGCTAAGATCTAACAAAAGTTTTAAACAGAATTAAGAATGTTTCCTCTGAATTAAAAAGTTTACCATTTCGCAACACAAAGCCCAATGTTTTATAGGATGACGCTATGATGCTATCGTAATGGTCACAGAAAGACATTTTACTGTCAAACATGACACCCAGGTCCTTGATCGTTTTAGAGCGCTTTATATGCAAATATGCAATTTTTTTATAGCTGTATTCATTTTTAATTTGCATGATTCGCTCACATATTAAATATCAAGACTTATATGCAAAAAATAACTGATATGCAAATTTCATAAAATCCGCTCTCTAGTGATTACTGAGTGAGCCAGTGCGAGTACATTCCTAGCTTGACGGGCTCCCAGGATATGTCACAATGCTGCCGATGGGGTTTTGAGAAAGACCAGCTGTTCCAAATCTTCATCTCGGGCTTTTTGGATACGGCTTGAGTGTAGTTGGAGATGGCTCGTTTGACGGGGTCGCGTACTATAACGAATGAATGGATCAATTTTTGCATTTATTCCATTTAATTTGTCCTACAATAATCATCACACTGAATAAAATAATTCAGTTTGAGTTGTTCGTTGATTTCTGAGAATAATTTCTAATTTCACTTTGGCATTTGGATTTTGCATGCTTAATCCAAAGACGCAATCGCCGAACTTCGGCAGTGCGACGGAACATTTCGCGACAAATCGGATCGGGCGCGAATTTCAAAATACGATTTTTAAAATCTTTTCACAGTAAATGAGTGCGATGCTCTTCGACCTCCGCGAAGGCATCACTAAATAATAGCTTTAAAGTGATCTGGGGAGATGTTATAAAATAAAAACTAACTTGCCATGTTAACTCCCTATGTCCAGACTTGGATGCGGCAACCTGTATAACTCCATCGCTTTCCTTAAAAATGTTTGGTTGTTTCATTGTAACATTTTGCAAAAAATAAAATTTTGAATCTGAACACCATCGATTGTACAGGTTCTTCCTAATCTAACTCCACGGCTTTATATAGCGTCGGCAAATAGAAGTGGCAGAGCTAAGTTTTAAGGATTATCATAAAAGTGTGAACTTAGGTTAAATAATGTTTATTGCCTTATTGTTTCTTGACTAACTGGTGTGTCCCTATCTTGTGCAACTGTTTATTCATAAATATAAGTGTCATAAATATTATTGACAGAAGTTCAAATTTTATAGTAAACCTGTTACCTTAAGAATGAATAGAGTATTGAAAGAGTTGTGACAGCTCAGATACACGCTTGAAATCTTGATATTAAACTCGGCCTGCATATAGCTTCAGGTTAATCTTCATCTTGGTTTGTTGTGTCGCTGTTATGTCGATCTCCTTATGTCATTTGTCTTAGAAAAACTCCCAATTGAATATCTTATGCTTTTCAACGATCTTGACAGATTCAGCAATTGTTTCGATAAAATTTGATTTAAAAACAATTAACCTAAGCGTAAAATTCACATTTTACACGTTTTAAAAACTTTTCTAAAGCAGTATAACTATTATAGGAATAACTAAAGAACATGCAATTTTTAACGATCTGGGAATACAATGATGTCATATGTCATAATGACTGCTGTGTTATACATAACAAAAATAATAGATGTTAGGTAATAGGTGTTCAAATTTTCAAGTATTTACCTAAGTATGTATCTTGTATGCCAACCGTAAATTCTTAACGTTTTCACTCATTTATTTTTTTTTTTTAATAATTGAAAATTACAACAGAACAACTGACTATTTTTCAAGTAGTTTAATAAATATATTCATATCAAATATTGTCCCATTGAAAAATAAAGAGTGTTCTATTTACTGAATGTATATTTCAAAAACTTACGATTTTTTTTTCGTTGAAATGTGTTGTCTTTGCCAAAAAGAAGCATCGTCATCTCTCTGGGAAAAATTTAAGGGTAAAAAATCATGATATAATTATTTACAAAAAGTTTTAATGCAGTGAACATTAGCAAATTACATTCATGATAAAATAATTTTAAATATTCACAAACATGTAAAGTCAAACACTGTGTAAGTACTAAACTATACAATAGAAAACGTAAAATTAATTTACAGATTCACAAGCGTCGATCCAGTCGTTATACACATCCAATGGTGCTGAGAGAAGGTGTATTCTAGTTTGAAATGCTTCCAAACAAACTTCACACCTTGTTTTTGCTATACTTCGACCCTTATCCCTGAAAAAAAAAATACAAATTATTACATGTCCTAAAACAAGTTACATTTGTAACTGGAGTATATAAATGGTTAAAAAAAACAAATACTCACATTTTGATGTAGCAAGACTTCTCGTGATTGCAAAAGGGGCAATTAAATACTTCATCCAATGGTACCACAACTTTCCTCTTGGGAACTAGCTTCCTTTTAGCACATCTGCGTCCCATGTTTATTTACAAGAATTAAATTCACTGGTACACTTCCCTAAACGAAATCCACTAATGTTTAAAGTTGGAAACTACAGCTGGGTACCACGTCGTTGCACTGTTCCAGTATAAATAACAAATTAAAAATCCCTGTCCTTATACCTATAGCTAAGGCAGAATTTATTTAACAGCAGGCCCACCTGGTGGATGGTAAATTTTTCGGTCGGATAAGCAAGAGATAATGTTTACCTCTTCTACAGTGGGCAATAAGGGGATTAAGTTGGGTAAATAAAAATCTGGCAAATCGTTTATCTGGGCTATTAAAAAGAACGTTCAAGTTTAAAAAAAAAATCCTTGTTTTTATACTGCAATAAATAGAACATTTTTTATTTTTTCAATTGCTTAATACTTGATATAAATTTGCTTGATTCCCTTAAAAGTGTTTGCTTGTGCCACTGTAATAATTTGATTATTTCAAAAAACAAAATTTTAACATTTGGCATCGTCCATTATACAGAGTGTCCCAGTAAAAAGTCCGCGGCATTCTAGGGTCAGACCAGATAGAGATATTGAAAATCTCCAAACGCCATTTTTGGTTAGAATGGGAAAGCTTAACTTACATTACGAATGTAACGCATATATGCTGTGTGCCTTCTCAGGTAAAAGACATATTTGCACTGTCCCTTTAAGCTAAAAATAATGGTGTTACGGAATTTTGATATCTCTATCCGTTCTCAGTACATAAGGCGCGGAACATGACTGGGACAACCTGCATATAAAATTTATAGTTTGATGATTTAGAGTTTTTGGCAGCTCGGATATACAGGGTATTGATTTTATCTTTTCACGCATGAAGATTTTTGCATAGACAACCTATTTTACGTTTCATTTTGTTATTTAAATAATAATGAATACATGGATAGTAATGATCAGAACCAAAATTATGACAAATTATTTCTGTCAGCCAAATATTTTCAATTTACGTTTGCTTTAAAATGTTTTCGTATTCTGAAAAAACAGACATGCTATTAATATTGGGAAAGAGTGACAAAATATTTATATTTGATGCTGTTCTTCTTTGCGCCAGGTAATATCTCAATAGAAGAACTCCCTCAAATCAAGCGTTTAAAAAACTTCAAAAAACTTACCAGAATTTGGGCAATTCAAAAAAAAATAAAGTTAGAAATCGAACTGTAACAATGCCGGATAATGAACCTGCTCTAATTGAAATTGTAGCAAAAAATCCCCACATGAATAAAATCAGAATGCAAGGAGATTAGTTTGGGTTCGGTTTGCAACATCTTAAAGGCAAACCGATTTCATCCATATCATGTGAAAATTGTCTAACGATTAAAAGAACGCGATTTTATCCCACGGCTAGTGTTTTGCGAATTCGTGAGGGCTCAATTACGAGACAATCAAGATTTTTTATTTAATGTTTTGTTTAAGGATGAAGCCACATTTACCAAAAACGGGTGTGTAAACAGACACAACTTACATTAATATGCCCAGTAAAATTCCCATTGGTATCAAGAAAAGCACTTCCAAGAAGTTTTCAAAGTTAATGCTTGGTGTGGAATTGTTGGTAACGCTCATTATCGGAGAGACGTTAGGAACTACATACACCGAGGTTGGCACGGAGCCCTGATCTAACGCCATTAGATTTTTTTCTTTGGGGGAAGGTGAAAAATGACACTTATATTGTCCCAATCGAAAATGAAAACCACTTACGTGAAAGGACAATAACCTCATGCAGATCTATATTCTATAACTTCCGATATGTTACAATTCTTAGAAATTTTGAACGTAGGATACGACTTAGTGAAGATAGTGGATGCAGGCATTTTGAACATTTATTATAAATTCGTTTTCGTAGTAATCTGATCTATTAATAAATTGAGAATTTATTTGTTCAATTTTGTCATTATTTGGCATTGACATCTTCCTCATTTTTCTTCCGTGATTGCTATGATTGCTTCATAAAAAAAAGTGGACGAAGTCGTGTCTGGGGTGTATAATATGTTGCCTATGCAAAGATTGTCTGGAGTGAACAGATAAAATGAACAGCCTGTAGTATCCTCCATTTCTCCATATTAAACCCGGCTTGTATATAGCTTCTGATTGATCTTCATTTTGGATTCATTTGTCTATCAGTTGTTTCTTTTGCTCAGAATAAGAATATATGTGATCATTTACTTTATTCCAATTTCTAAATATTTATCATTCTACGTAACTGAAATACAGTAACCGGCAAAAAAAACGGCCACCCTGAAAAATTTCTCAAAACCCAACTTAAAAAATTATTAATTTAACTATTGATCGTTATTTTATTAAAGAACCATTCACTATTGACACATGGGGTGGGATTTTGCTTCTACCGGCACGATACGAAGCGATAAATGACAAGGAGGAAAATATAAATTTCAGATGCGATAGAGAAAGACGACCACATTTTATCGATACCGATGTTTGAAGGTTATAGCAACAAAATCCCACCCATGATGTATACATTAGCAAAAAAAAGAAGGCAAATAACCGCAGAATTAACTTTAATTTAACAAGATATCAGAAACAGAGCTACAATTTGAGAGCCGTCTGTAAGAGTTAACGGCATTGTTTTCTCGGGAAACATTTATTAACGGCCAAACTTATAATCAAATGATGAAAAACACTCTTTACAAAAACAGCCTCCTTGATTGTTTTAATTAAGAAAATTTCGTAGTTGTTCTGCTTCTGTTATTTTATTAAATTAAATTTAATTCTGCGTTTATATGTCTTCTTTTTTTTGCTCATATGTACATGTGTCAATAGTGAATGGTTCTTTAATAAAATAACGATCACTAGTTAAATTAATAATTTTTAAAGCGGTTTTGCGACTGTCCGAAATTTCGCAAATAACGCGTGAGTGTGGCGTACCTCGGTGCCAAGCTCGATAAATGAAATTTGGTTTAGAACGTGTAAAAATTTGTGCAGTTTATCTAGAAACCCTTCAAACAATATATTTGTATCAGAGCCAAACATACGTACCTATACTGAGTAAAGCGTGCGGTACTCTCGACAAGTGATATCGTGCAATATTTGGATGTCTAGACTGTAATAAAGAAATGTAATTTTACCATCCATAAATGTAATAATTAACCATATTTGTGATTTTTCAAAGACATTTTCTCTCTTTCCATCAACTCCTCTGAACGTCATATCCCCCCCTACTTTGTCGAAAAGAAAAACCCTTGTTCTCCCCTTCCCTCGTGCGTTTTGATAAGCGGTATCTTGGGCAGGTATAAATTGTTCAGTGGACCCTTTTCCATTCAGTGTGTATTTTGTGTTTGTGGTGACAATTTCGAAATGGCCAACTGCGAACACAAGAATTTCGAAATCGATGTGTCTGTGGACAGGCAAATTCAAAATTGCTTTGAAGAGATGGTGGATTTTGAAATGGTGAAGCTATTGCTGTTGGGATGGTACTCGTGAAAAAGTAACAACTCAAGTTAGCCAAGAAGAGGAAGGCAGCCGAAAAGTCCACAAGAAAACCCTTGAGCTACCAGAGAAGGCGACGGAGAACCTCAAAGAGTCTTCTAAAAAAGTGCCTGCTCAAGCAGCACTGAGAGAGAGAAGAACAAATTCAACTAGGTAATTGAAAATCAACTTTTCAAATAGTAATGGTCCTAATAATTTTTATCTTTTCAAAAAATGAAGAAGTGGTGGCCATCCACGAAGAAGCCAAACGTTAAATGGAGTGCCTGGAGAAAATCATCTTAGACAACTTTTAGATTTTTTATATTTTTGTTTAAGTATTATTCATTTTTGTTTACGTTATTAAAAATATAGTATATTGTGTGTATATAGTGTGTTTTGTTTTACTCAAATACGATTTAATGTACCTATGACTTCCTGTGTGTGAAATTCAACAATACTGTGCCAATAAAAGTTGAGCATATTATGTGGCTATTGGGAATAACATTCGCATTTTGCAGCTATAAATGCATATTTATTGGAAATGTGTAGGCACAGTTGTTTAACAAAGTAAAACAAGAATAAGTAAAAAAGAATACGAGCACATATAGAGCAAGTGTTAAAAACAATTGCTAACACATATGTATTAAAAATTTTACAATATTGTTAGGAAATAAATCCATACGCCGCCCCGGTACGACACCTATAATCCGCCGAGAGCTGTCTGATCTGTACGCCGATGATGACTCATCGACAGTGAGCGGCGGATCGTTAAAAACAGCCTGGAAGCCTAAATCGCGAACGGCAATCCAGAAAGATCCCGATCACCGCACATCTAAAAGGAAGTGTGGGTTTAAATGGACTCCACGGGAACGAGGATATTCATTTAACGAGAAGAGTCCAGTCAAGCTGCGCCGAAATCATTTTGTGTAATCACTGTAAACTAAGCTCTGTGTTATCGAACGTCTTTCCAGGGCTAATAAAGTTTTCTTCATCTTCTTATTTGGGTTCTACAAACAATATAAGATAAGTGTTACCATCATTTTTAATTCAGTGCCTTTGTGACCAATAATAATATTTTATCACTGTCAAGGTTTTTCTTTTGCGCTGTGTAACCCTTCTATCATTTTATGTTAGATTACATACAACTATTCACATAACAAATGTATAATGTTTGAATTTTCACCATGGCCGACTAGCATAAAGATTATGGCCTGTCCAAAGGAATGCCAAAGGTACCATACGTGCTGGCATCTATTAATAATTCAAAATCGACAAAAGAATTATTAACACCTTTTGAAAGGCACAAAGGCATTCATACCCAAACAAACCACCATTACACGTTTTGAAGTCCCATAATGTCAAGTCAAATTAAAATTTTGCTAAATTATTAAGTGTAATTATTAATAGATGGCAACACGTATCGTACCTCTTGGACAGGCCATAATCTTTATACTAGTCGGCCATGGTCATACGTAGTGCAAAAACTCTCTAATTTTGACAGATGAATAAAACTGTCAGCTCTCATGCCTACTCAGTTATCTCAAATTGATATCTTTCTTACAGTGTTGTAGGAAAAACAATTAAAACAAACCGTTTTAACAGGCTTATTGTTTGGTCATAAGTGGGTGACCTAACGAAAACTGTGTTTTCTCGAAGGACCAGGCCACAATGGATGACCAAATGATGAATCACAATAGGTAACCAAAAATGAAGCTATTAATATAGCCTCAGTGAGACACAACTTTACTCTATGACGGTTTATTCTCAAATCTATAAAAATATTTACATCTATTTTCAAAGTGAGAGTGGTGGGTGAAAGGCGTCTGATGCACCCCTTCTCCTTCGGTGTACCTGAGTGGATCGAACACTTGTATTACCTTCACTTGTAACTAACAACTAATTATGTAAAGAAATCTAGGAATTCGATTTTAACCTACTTCTAATTATCGTATTGTTACGAAATAAACCCATACGACGCCTATGGTTTTTCTAGTATGTGCGGCGATGATGGGTCTCGCATCGCCGGTGACAACGGCTGGACGGCGTTCGCTAAAAAAAAGCCTAGAAGCGGAAGTTCCGAGCTCCAGACAAATCTAGAAGCGGTGACGGAGGCGTTTTGAGAAGGACCGAGTGGCTGTTTAAATGGGAACTACCGTCGGGAGTGTGGGAGTCGAGTCCAGCGAATGTTGAGAGAAGCCAGTCAAGTTGCGCCGGAATTATTTTGTACATAATCGCTGTGTAATCAGTCATGTAAATTCGAGTTGTTAAGAAATAAATTGTTGAGTTTTACCCACGCCGATTTTTATTCACCGATCAACGTAACAATATATTTGAAACTTTGCAAGGATGTGTAATTTGGATGACAATACAATAGTTTCATACGATCAAGCCATTTGGGTCCACTCCACTCTCTAAATTTTGCCATGTCACAAAATTTGAGTGCAATCGTACTCTTGACTGTAGTGACAAAAGTCACGTGTGACATTTACCGTTAAAAGCGTGTTTTTAGTTTTTTAAACTATAATTTATTCACTAACATCTCTAGTTCAGAATTAGAAAAATGCCCCCCATTTATTTCGGATACCTCCGAAGGTACTATTGGTACAACGCCGGAAGATTGTACAAACATTTTTAAAGCACACATAAGAGATTGTATGCCCAATTTCTAGGTAAACGTAATTTTCAATTTCAATATAACCGGAGAATCGACGGTATTTTGATGGAAACTTACTTTTTGGGCATACAAACAATCATTCTAAAGGAAATCAATGCACGCACTATTCAAGATATTACGCGAGAGAAATTAAATTATTAAGGGGAAACATTCTTTATATACAGAAGATTGTGAACAAATGGACGTAATAACTAAATTAACATTTTTTATTAATTTAATAAATTCAATTGGATAATAGGATAAAAGACGCGATTGAAGTGACATAGATCTTAAAAGCGTCTACTAAATATGTATAACGTGTGTATTCTCCAGATTTTAACTGTTGCTCTATCATTTTCGTGTAAACTGCAAAATTGGTAAGTTAGTTTTTAACGTAGGCTTTTATGAAAGAAAAATTTACCTAGTTAGCATTAGCTGAAAAATAAAGTTTTACAGGAATCCACTAACTGACAACCACGTGGCAGCTCTAATCTTAGCGAGAGGTGGTTCTAAAGGGATTCCGTTAAAGAATCTAGCCAAAATCGGAGACCATTCGATTTTAAACATAACTTTAAATACTGTATTACAAGTGGATTTCTCATCAGTATGGGTGTCCACTGATAATGAACATATTTTTAAAGAAGCCGCTTACGTAAATGTACACTGGAGATCAAAAGAATCGGCCACAGACGACGCACCCTCCATTTTAGGTGTGTTAGATTTTATCCGCAGCCATCCTGAAGCTGATGTAATTGCTTTAATACAGTGTACTTCACCATTTATTAAAAAATGGTATTTAATGGAGGCAATATGGTGGATTAATCAAGGTGCAGAGTGTGTTTTCTCTGTTAGCAGGTAGGTCACAGTTTTTAGACATTACTTTTGTCTAATTTTTGCATACATATTATGATGTATAGGTATATCCCAGATAACATACCTAATTTATATTTCTTTTCATACAATTCATTTTTACTTTCCGATTTAGGCTAGAAACTAGGAACCATCCGTCGAACGATTAATTTAACGTTTTCTCGACACTTCATGACTTGTAGAGAATGAAAAAATAGATCTTCCTTTTCTGTCTGTCTTAGAACTCTGTATTGATTTTTTACTCTAGAAATCCAGATTTTTGAAAAAATCAAAATACTATAACAACATTGTAAAATTTAACGTTCAAAGTACAGAAACAAATGCTCTGAAAATATTTTTTAGCATTTTGTATACAGGATGACTCAAAAAAATTATTGAATGAGACAATTTATATTATTAATTATTAGTATTACCCCGCGCTATCCAAACTGATATGCAAAAAAAAAGATAAGCTGATACTGAATTTTAGGGGAGAAGGAAGTTCTGTCTAAATAACCTTAAACCAATTTTTTATGACTGGTGGATGAGAAACATAATTTTTCCAGGTGTTTCCAGAATACCCACCAGTTTTTAATTTTTTCTTAAAGATTTTTTGGTCTTGTTAATTTTGAATTTCTAGTGTCTACATTATTAAGCACTTTGTCACAGTTAAGTCACTTCACAGATCTTTTCATTTACGGTGGTTAGAAACCGAAGAAGGCGTACAACCCCTCAATTTTAACATTGAAAAGCGACCCCGAAGACAAGACTGGAACGGAGAACTAGTCGAAAATGGAATGTTCTACTTCGTGAGACGATCGGTGGTAACACGGGGATTTTTACAAAGCACAAGGTACAGTAACACCAACATTTAAAACGGAAAATCCCGCGAGAATTTAATCAACATTTGGGCCAATCCGATGAACATTAAAACGAACTGGTAAACCTTGAAAACATGATAACGTAAATAGAACTTGATAATAATTTATTTAAATAGTACTTGATGTTAATTTATCAATAATTCATAAGTGGGGTGACCGCTATTTATTTACTTACACAAACCGGATGATTCTAGATGACTGGGTAATTTAAAGTCCTGCCTACCTGTTTATGCTGTTTTTTAATTAAATCGTCAGTGTAAAAAACAGTTATTTTTAAGAGGTTTATTCTGTTTTATGTGTACTTCCGTTACAGCTGAGGCAAATGTGAAAAACGTAGGTACATACAATGCAAGCTGACCTTTTCCCGTCGAAGTGAAAGTGCTTGCGATTTTTCAAATCGCGAGTTTGTTAGGTTCATTTAACTGAACTCCAGTGTTGTGTAAGCTGCTTTCTTATTAAGTTAATACTTTAACAATTTCTAACACTTTTCCCGCTGTGTGTTTGTTTGATGTTGCGTAACCTGTCAAAAGTGACACGGATGTCATCAAATGCCAACACATCATCTAATCGAGGTTATGTTTATTGTGGTGTTGACACATAGCCACGAGTCTTAAATGACATTCCCTCTGGGACAATTAATAAATTATTTTTATCCGGTACTGTGTCCACCCACAAATGAAGCGCAGTCATAAACTCGTACGTATCAAAGGTAATTTTAGGTGTAAAATTGTGGAAATCCCCAGCAGAGATAGTTTGGAGATTGATACCCAATCTGATTTGGATGTTGCAATTGCACTTAGTACATTATCGGAAAAATGACTACAGATTTTAGCGCAGGTAGGTTGCCGTTTTTGCCTAAATTTTGTTATTTCAGTGATTTATCTCTAGGAACAATACCACCGCTTTACAGGGAAGTGTTCGATGTGTGCTCTCACAATGGTGAGCCCATACATCGAGACGTCTACCAGTGCTTACTTTCACAATGCAATCTTGGAACAGCACAGTTGAAGATAATCTGGGACTTGGCTGGACCTTCGCAGGGACTTATTACACGAACAAACTTGTACAAGACTCTAGCTTTAATAGGATGGGCCCAACAGGGGAAGTCCTTATCTCAGAAACTTTTTGATAGCGCAGCAGGCAAAGGTAAGAGTGTCGAGTATAACAATAGTTACTATAGATGGGTAATTTTTTTTTTTGTTTTTAGAATACCCAACGCCCAGTATCAGTGATTTAACTCCTGTGAAAAATTTAGTTTTACAACTTAATTTAAAGGCAAACCCAGCGGTTTTGGGGCTTACTTACACAGAAATTACTCAGTTAGACACAATTAGTGTTGAATTAGTACCTGAAAAGAAAGGACTGTTCCTAAAGTATTCTGAATATTTGGTCTCCTCACGTCGATTTAATTCCAAAGTTACCAGGAGATATAATGATTTCCTGGCCCTCCAAGAGTTACTCCTGAACCGCTTTCCATACAGGTATGTAGTATATTATGGGTATGTAGTGTCTGACTTTTACTTTTACATTTATGCATAAACAAAAAGTGTAAATTATCATGTTTTTTAGAACAGTTGATTATAAGTTTATTTATTGTTTGTTTCTAAATTTGTCTGCTTCAATTAGTGTTATCATATAATACAAAAATGTTGTCTTTATCAGTATTTATTTTTTTGAAGTCACGTGTGCGTTACTATATAGGTATTAAAAATAAGTGGCAAAAAACGACAACACAAAAACTTGAACTTGACATCACGTCCGATTCTATTCTTATCTTGGCTGATAGCAAATTGTTTAGTAAAAATTTTCGGGGGGGGAATTACCTCTATTTTATGGTGGGAACATGAGTACTCTACTTATATACACTCATAAATAAATTCAGGTCAACGTAGGTTTTTTTTTTTTTTTTTTGTTAACTTTACAAGCGTTCTAAATTATACAAGGTGTTTCTTCTTCATGTACCTGTAACATCAGACATGCAGTTGTTTATTTGGTCTTGTAACTGAGGCCGTTCATTGAAAAGCAAAAATAAGCAAGTAAGTGGAAATTTGAAATCTATATACTGGCATGCTCCTTTACTTGTGGTTTCCATATTTTTAATTTTTTTATATAGATGTCTACAAAACAATGTGAATATATTTTGTTGATAAAAGAATCATTGTACCTAATTTTTCCCAAGTTGTGGCTACACATTATTATTGTTATTAATGTTACGGTATACATATCAAAATTGATATATTTATTCCCATTAAAAAATTAATAACGTCACCACAAACTTTATTCAGAAAAAAACATTTGTTTTATCATAACATATAAGGATTATCGTACAATAAATAAAATTTACAAAATCAAACTTTGTAACTCAAACAGGTTACTTAGGTTTGAAATAAGCCTAACTTATTGTTGTCAGCTGTTGATGACACACTAGCTGTTTTCTGCGTAACGTAAAGAATACAATTTCACTGGACGAATAATAATCGCCAATCATGAATAAAATGTCGAAACTAAAAAAAAGACGTGTTGTGTACGCAAACGTTACGCATTAGAATAATTTATATAATGTTCACGTAATAACATATTTTTTTTGTTCCGACAAAGGTCATGTGAACTAGTTGAACTATTATAACGCAACGTACCTTAACTAGTTGCTAATAACATTTGAACGTAGCTGCAAAAATTGAAACGTTTTTTCCTCCTTAGTAAAAAAGTACGAACTTTAGACCCAAGTTAATAATAATAATAATAATAATAATTAATAAATTTTAAGATGAAGTTCAAATTCATAGAAGTTTCTATTTGCATTTACAAACAAAAAATATAAGCGACATTAACCGAGACAAATTTTGTATCATTCTATTTTACTATGGCGTTTCATAATCAAAACGAAGAAAAATATAAAGGTTTTCAGAATATAACAAAATACGCGCGTCCAAAATAACACCACAAGCACTTTACTTAATTAAAAAATATGTTATCTGCGACTCCGCTGAAGTTTGCATTTGTAAATTTCTCGAATCGGTAAAGTAATTTAGGTACTAAAATTCACAATTCGTAACCACAGTTTAGTTTAGTTTAGTGTTAGTAGAGTGATGATACTATTTGCAAATAAACAACTTAATTTGCCTAATTATTTTTAAACAGTCTTAACTAGATTATATCCACTTGAGGTTTTGTGTTTATCTGCGATGTGCTCGAGCCAAACAGACCTTCACAAATAGAGCCTTAAAAGTAATTGCTTTGTGTGCCTCCCTCCTTATATAGCAAAGTTGGGAAAGTTGTATATTCTATTAACATAAATCCTCATGAGATAACGCTGCCTAAAAAATAGTTTTCCAACACAGGAAATTTTAGTCCTCGTCCACTTTATTTTATGTACCTAAGTGTGTATGGGATTATGGAAACCCTCAAAGAAGAGGCGCAGAAACCTAATATCTCTCACTGCTGGGTACCGACCATAATTTTGCATACTGTAGTTTGTACATACAATATAGTAGGAACGGAATATTTCTGTTTCTGTCTTCGTCCTACACAGGTAGGCAGTTATACGTTTCCACCCCTAAAATGCTAAGAAGTGCGAAGACAGAAATATACCAGAATTCTATTGTGGGTGTTAATGGTATTAATCCGCTTCCGGGTTCAATAATTTTTTATCAATGACATTTTCATGTCGAACAAAAGAATTTGTACTTATAACTGTTACACTACTAAAAAAGATTTTTGTAATTTTCTAAATTAAAATAAAACCATTTAATTCGGGTCATTGGTTATAATCATTTCAGTTATTGTAATAAAATAATGCTTGTTGTTATTTTCATGTAATAGGTTTTAATTTGACAATTTGTGGTTAAAAAATGTAACTCATTTGAAAAATGTTTATGATTAAATAAAAATGAGATATTTTTGTCATCAAATGGAAAACATCCAAATTTTTTTCTTCTGTGGTATTTCTCCGCGATTTCTTGTTTTCTGTTAATTTTGAATGAACACAAAGTAAACAAGGAATCACCTCAAACTACAATACATATATTCAAAACGATTTAAAAGTGCAAAACGTAATAGAAAACTCTGAACTGCAAATGTACTTCGTATTAATTTATATAAATTATTTTAATAACATTTTTCCCCCGTCAACAATCACGTAATTACCTCGGATTTATAAATAACTGACATTTTAAACAGTTCCATTTGTGATTTCATAATTTAAAATGAAGCATACGTTAATTACAAGAATTTTAAAAAGTACTAGTTTATATTCACACCCCCGTTAATCAATTTTTCAGTTCATAGATATTTCTTCTCTAATAAGCTTTAGTTTATTGTCAAACTATTTAATTGGGGATCTAGTCGAAGATGATACTTTTTTGTACAGAAATTAAAATCGACGTGGGTAAAACCCAACAATTTATTTCGCAGTAATACAAAACTACACAACTAACTTATTATGTACACAATAATTCCGACTGGAATGTATTTGACTAGACTCAACTTCTCCCATTGTCTGGACTTCACTGCCTCCTCCCGACGGTGGTTTCCGTTTAAACAGCCACGCGGTCCTTCTCGAAAGGTGCACCCATCGCGACTTCCGTTTCCAGGCTTTTCTTTAGCGAATGCTGTCCGGCCGCCGTCACCGACGATAAATCACTCATCATCGCCGCACATACTAGAAAACCCATAAGCGTCGTACCGGGGCGGCGCATGGGTTTATTTCGTAACAATATTAATCACTCTCGTAAAAGCGTTCAATAAGTAATTTACTAAATAATCAAAACTAACATCGTTTCTGTTAATAATATCAAATGAAAATTTTTATAGACATTAAGAACTTATCAGAATTGGGTTTCGACATGTTCCGGATTAAAAACGAAAATGCTGATGTTTGTTCAAACTTATGTAAGTCATCACATCATGTTAAATAAGCAACAGGAGCTCCGTAATTATGATATTAATACAGTTTGAGATGTTGGGCTAATTCTGGTGTAGTTGGCAATAGTAGATAAACTATATAACTATAAGAGGTAATCAACTCATTCTCATCAACTTATGTTGAAATCACCAACGAGAATGATTGTGTGTGATATCTGATTAAGTGCTCCAATATACATTTAAGCTATTTAAAAGATATTGTTACGTTGATCGGTGAATAAAATCGGCGTGGGTTAAACTTAACAATTTATTTTTTAATAACTCGAATTTACACTTACACAGCGATTATGTACAAAATAATTTCGGCGCAACTTGTCTGGACTCTGTCTTCCCTCACTCGACTTGTTGACTGAATAATCTCGTTCCCGAAGGTGGCCTCCATTTAAACCCATATTCCCCTCTCGATGTTTCGCAATCGAGGTATTTCCCGAATCCATCGCGACTTCCTCTTCGAGAGTTTTCTGGACGCCGCAATCGAGACTTCCGGTAACCCACACAAAATTCTGCATCAATTTCTTTAGAAAAAGGTGATTAAATAAGAGGCTTGAATTCAATGCACTTACAAACAAAAATACAAAAACCGCCATGCTTATTGTGGGCTCTACAAGGAAACCGCCAACTGAAAACCTGACAACTGAGTCATTTTGAAATTTAGATCTGATGTTTATAGAGTGCATCATCTTATCATAGTCGCCACGTTGATTAATGATTAGTATCGATCGCGAAAACTTTTTGCCGTCACTGTTTTACAAATATTATTTAATCTTAAACTTGGGCATTATTTACTGTTTAATAATTTTCTTTCATAATGCTAATTATTAAACACAAATAGGTGTAGTTTTGGAAATTTCATTGTACCCTACAAATTTTATTAACAATAACGAGACGGGCAGTAGTACAATAGCAAAAGATATTTACAACTTAAAGTTGTCGCGTGCCGTTAATCTCCAGATGGTAGAAAGCATAATAATCCAGGTCTGCACAGGGCCCATCGTTACTCACGAACGAAAATGGGCATTATTTTATGAATACAACTACCTGCTAAATGTTTTCCGACAAATTCGGGTGAACTGGTCTGAGCCATAAATATTTCTTAACATTGTCTTAAAATTTTATAGGGTAGAATGTGAAATTTCCAAAACTATACCTACTATTAAGTATCCTTGGGAGAACCCAAAATTCGTCCACTGCCTCCGGGTATCTGCACCCTCATGAATCATATTGCACTACTGCCGTCAGTAAAATGTTTTGCAATGTTGGTTGCCTACTTTTGTAATTAAAAAATGTTAACTACCGGTTCTTCATTGACAAAAATATGAAATTAATTTAACACCTGTGTAGATTTTACTCATATAACCAAGTGTGCGAAAGCTGAATTCTGAAATATTACTACTTTTACTGAAAACCCGAAAAATCAAAATCATGTTGTTGGCAAAAAAATAATTTAACTTCTGCTTAGCTTTACAAATTGCGTTAAATGTGAGTAGATAGTGCCTAGGATTAGTGGGGTAATAAATCATGTTGACAGGTGACGTTATCTTGACAGCTGTCAATCAAGATAACGATCTTAATGGATTTTTGACGTGTGCTGTCAATCAAGATAATGATCTTAATGGATTTTGATTACTCATAATTTAATTTTTATTCGCGAACGTAATTAAATTAATTATATCATTATTAAATTTAATTAGATCACTATGAATTTGATATCGGAATTAAATAATTTAAATTTAAATATATATTTTTAATTGTGTATTGCGGGTTGCATGCATATGTACATAAAGACGATAATGTTTTAAGATTACGCAATTGAATCAATGATTAAAATACTAATTACACCATCATTAATTCATTCTGAATATAATACGATTTGATGTGGGTTAATATCTGAAGCGTTTTGATAATTCTTTGATCGATTGCATTATTAACTAAAAATTAGATCGTAATGACCATTAGCCCGTGCCAATAGCTCAATAATGATGACGCACTCTATGCAAGCGACTCATCATCTACAAGCAGAGACTTGTTTCTGCATGTATTTTCTTGTTATACCCATTCTCCGAAGTCATTAATCACTAGCCCCACGGCAACATCTCATTATGATGTTTGTCCATTAGCTTTTTGTTATTAAAGACATACCGACGACGCACTTTTTGCAGACGAGTCATCATCTACAAGCACAGACTTGTTTCTGCATGTATTTTCTTGTTGTACTCCCTCTCCGAAGTCGTTAACCACTTTAATTTTTAATCGCGAACGTAATTGAATTAATTATACCATTATTAAAATTTAATTAGATCAGTGTTAACTTGATATAGAATTTAAATAATTTAAATTTAAATAGATATTTTTATTACCGAACAGCCGGTTTACATATTAATAATAATAATAATTATATTTATATACATACATATAGTTACACACATCACAATTCTACACCACTGTCGCCGTCGTCTTCTTCATCCGATAGTGGATAATATCGCTCTCTGACGAAGTGGGTGTAGTTGAATCTACCGCCCGTGAATCCAAGCTGTCTACCTTGGCAAACGAATCTCCGACTTGTTACAATTTGTACATTGCACCTAGCGCAATATACCTTCGCCAACGTATGGATGTGGCCTATCCACATTGGTCCTTTATGGTTTTTTGCACAAAACCGACATATAAATCTTTTGCGAAGATCATTTCTAGACGGGGCCTTCCGCCTGATGGAAAATAATATAATGCACAGATCTAGAAAAAAAGAAAAAAACTTATAAGAAATGAGAATAAATTACATTCTTAAAAACTTACTGTTGGCCATATCGTTCTCAGGAATAACACACGGTACTACGAAGCTGAATGAATAAGAGCGTCTGTATTTTCTAAAGTTTAAAGTAAAACTAATTTTTCAGAGGGATGACAAAGGGAGGGATAGGGTAACGACAGGTAGGTACGAGTCTTACAATTTTGCCGAAAGTTAAATTTTCTTTGTGAGTAACATTGGGCGCCACTATGCTAATACCTTCTCGCAGGTAATCACACAGAGAATGTTAAGTCCTCTAAGGTCTTGCAGAGACAATTACTTATGCACTTAAAGAAGTAGATGATGTAAAGTTAAGATAAGTTTTCTGTCTATACTAACAAAGAAGGCGCCAATATTGCATTACCCCTTTTAAATGCCTGAGACGTCGGTGAGTACCTTTTTCCAGATGATTTAACTAAGCCGACAATGTACATTGTTCCGTACATTTAAATATTTTTGAAGAAATGACTTTACATAGAAATGTTTCACTACCCAGCCACTTAGTCAGATCCCCAAATGATGGCACAGTGACTGTAAGTCCTGTCGCGACTTGCAAAGACGGGTATATTTGTTGTCATACAATGATAAGACAACCTTTCAGTCTAGAGTAATAGAAAAATAGGCGCCGGAGTGCATTACCGCAAATAGTTTTAAGTATCTGCGATGGACAAGTCGACGTTTATGGCATCTTTCATTTTTTCGTCAATTTAAGATGACACAGTCACTGTAAGTCCTGTCGCGACTTGCAAAGACGGAAATATTTGATGTCAAGCAATGATAAGAAAACCTTTAAGTCTAGAGTAATAGAAAATAGGCGCCGGAGTGCATTACCGCAAATCTGCGAAGGGCAAGTCGACGGTTTTTGGCATCTTCGTTTTTCAGACGATTTAACTAATTCGACAGTTATTTCGGATACAGATTTCCGTGTATTGAGTCATGGGTAAACGGCGTATGTACCATTTAGCTCTCGATAAATGCCAATAGGGTTTATCTGATTCCTACCACTTTTTTTACCCCACCCTCATTGGTTTTTTCTATATATTACCTTGTTTGCCTATTGTAGAATTATATTTTTTTAGTTTTGACAAAATTGTGTCTGCCGCTACGGTTTGTGATAGTGAACGTTAATTTGTGATAGTTGTGATTGTGTCAACGCAAAATGAATACAGGATTTGAAGAATTTTTGCAAACCCTGCAGATTGTTCAAATATTTACGATGTTCGCGAGTGGTTTTTTTGAAAATTTGAAAATTCTGCGAACTGTGCGGGATCATATAAATAATCGAATTATATATAAGGATGCGATTTTGGACAACAACGATCGAAAGTCATATGGTCTTTTGTTAGGAAGAATAAGACAATTGGGTAAGTTGATAATAGCTGATATCCTAAATTAATTAATTAATTGATTTAAGAAAAAATTCTAAATAATATTATTATTTTTTAACAGAAATTTTCGAAGCCGAGAAGGACGGGTGCATCAATAATGTCGAGATTCAACAGAAGAATAACTTGGAAAACCAATTTCGCTCATTTATAGAGCATGAATCTCGCATTGCTACTGCCCATCAATCTTCACCTGATGCTAGTTGGTCCAGCGATAAGGCTGTCGTGAATGCGACTTTTTCGAACAATAGCACCAGTAATAATAATTCATACAAAACGCAATCAACTGATGTCGATGAAGAAGAAGCTAGCGTAGTAAATGTATCGACATCGACATGGTCAAAAGGTATGTTGAAAATGAACATTTATTCATAACAGCTAATAATACGGAACGTTTTAGGGGCTACAGAAGGTGACGAAAGTGAAACATCAGATGTTCAAAGAGGTGCAGGGGAAAGAAGCGATACAGGTAATAGAATATAATAACATTAATAAATAAGTGATCATTAATAATAATAACTATTATTATTTCGCAGTAAACGGAGATCACAAATATTTCAATGAAAAAGGCGAGTGTGAGGCGTTCATACGTAAATTTGGGCTAACGGCAAGACGGATGGAATTTTCGTTTAAAGATGTGAACGATGACGAGATACCACAAAATTGGTTGAAGGTATTTTATACAAAAAAAAATAAATAAATAAATATTAAAATTTACGTTTGTTTCAGAATGCGTTTCAAGAGTTACTTGATTATATTACCCGTGGATTTCAACCCACCAGCATGATTGGAGTGGTCATCGAAAATGAAGAATTTCCAGACAAACCTGCCGGAATTTCTTTTCGAAGACTATCACAGCTGAGCGCGGACGTGGTGATGGACATCATTAGCGCTATCATTCAAAGCAACGCTAGCTTTTTCGCTAACGATAAGATGACTATCCGCATAGATGTGATTGATATGCCACTAGGTAGAGGATTTTCCGCACTGGATGGTAAGTGCGTGAATTTTAAAGAATTTTGTATCGCAAAAAACAGCATTTTTGTTGTGGATGTGAACAATTTTTGCCTAGCGGCGTCTCTAATTGTTGCTATTGAGTATACGGCTAACGGTTGCAATAGAAAGGTGCTACAGAAATTTAAAACAAAAAAGGGTAAAATAGATTTGCTAAATCTAGCTCAGGCACTTTGTCAAAGAGTAAATGTTGATATAACACATGGGGGCGGACACGCTGAAATTCAGCGGTTTCAAAATTACTTTAAAGAAGATTATATAATAGTTGTTTATAATAAACGCGACGGAACGTCGGTATATTTTAAAGGGGATTATAATATCAACAAGCCGAGGATTAACCTTTTATTGGAAGATCAACATTATAATGTAATTTTAAGTTTGACTGGTGCATTCGCAACGCGATTTTTCTGCGAATATTGTCTGACGAAGTATTCCCAGCAAGAACGCCATAAAAATTGTCCGTTTAAATGCCCGTGTTGCCTAACGTCGCCTCCATGTAACGACGACCCAAATGTAATAAGTTGTAATATGTGTAACAGGGTTTTTAAAGGGGAGATTTGTTTAAATAAACATAAAAAAGCCAAGACTTGCGATCGTATAAAGCGTTGTAGTACTTGTCACGCCGAGATTACACCAAAAAACAAAAAAAAGAGTACTCACAAGTGTGGAAAAAAATTTTGTAACACATGCAAAGAGGATAAGGATATTAGGCACGATTGCTACATGCACCCTTGCAAAGTTACGCGTAACAACAATGAAGCACATTTTGGTAGAAATAATAATTTTCTTTTCATCTTTTTTGATTTTGAAACGAGACAAGAGAAAAAAATTGGTGAAAAATTGTTTCTGCATGAACCAAATCTATGTGTAACGCAGCAAATATGTAAAAAGTGCTTGTCGAACGATGATATGAGCGAAAATTGTGGTGTATGTGGTCAACGCCAATACATTTTTAATAATGAGCCTGTATCACAGCTCATGGAACACATTGCCAAAATGTCAAAGATTTTCGCTGTGACAGCCATTGCACACAACATGAAAAATTTCGACGGAGCTTTTATACTACAACACATTTTTTCGAATATATCACGCTGGCAGCCAAAAGTTATAAAGCAAGGTATGAAAATATTATCGATAACATGCGGTGGTTCGATACGGTTCATAGACAGTTTGAATTTTATTCAGCTACCACTGGCGTCATTTCCTAAAACTTTTAAATTAGAAGGTGGTAAAGGATATTTTCCTCATTATTTCAACACGTTAGAGAATCAAAATTACACCGGAGACATACCATCAGTCGAGTATTACGGTTGTGATGTCATGAAAAAGAACGAACGCAGAGATTTCATGGACTGGCATCGTCGGCAAGTTGCCGATAATTATGTATTCACCATGAAAAATGAGATAATAAAATATTGTGTATCCGATGTTGATATTTTGAGGAGAGGGTGTTTGAAATTTCGCGAATGTTTTACGGAGAGCTGTAATGTAGACCCTTTGTTAGAGTGTATAACTATTGCGTCATCATGTAATCTCGTATTTAGGAGAAACTTTTTAAAACCCAACACAATAGGTATTATACCTACAGGGGGTTATAGAGGTAGGGATCGGCATAGTAAGATAGCGATAGCTTGGTTACTATGGCAAGAGTATACATTGCAATGCCGAATTAAGCACGCTGGAAATGGTCCAGAGGTTCGTTTGCGAGAAAATATCGTGGTCGACGGATTTTGCAGCGAAACAAACACCGTTTTTGAATTTTCCGGATGCTTCTGGCATGGGTGCCCTAGATGCTTTCCCGATTTTGATTCTGAATTGGCCGACAGAAATGAGCTGATGGTTACGCGGTATGAACGAACTATATTTAAAAACGAACGCATCAAAAATAACGGCTATAATTTGAATGTAATATGGGAGTGTGATTTTCGTAAACAAATAACGGAAAACCGGGAACTAAAGCAGTTTGTAGATAATCATTTATTTTCAAAAAACACACCCCTCAATCCGCGCGACAGTTTTTACGGTGGTCGTACGAACGCGTCACAGTTATATTACAAATGTCAACCAGGCGAGAGAATACTGTATTTCGATGTTTGCTCGTTGTACCCGTACGTAAACAAGTACGGTCGGTACCCTGTCGGTCATCCTACAGCCATTCATGTCGGCCATCCAGAATGCGTAAAAGTCGATCTAAACAAAGTCCATGGTTTTATTAAATGTATTGTTTTACCACCTGTTTCGTTGTATCACCCTGTTCTGCCGTACAAATGTAATGGTAAATTAACTTTTCCTCTTTGCAAAACGTGTGTTGAAACCCTGTATGAACAAGATTGCCCGCACAACGACGGACAGCGTCAGTTTACGGGTACTTTCGTTGCAGACGAGTTGCGTAAGGCTTTGGAGTTAAAGTACAGAATTATCGAAATTTTTGAAATATGGGAATACGACACCGTAAAATACGACCCAGAAACTAAAACAGGTGGGTTGTTTTCGGAGTACGTAAACACGTTTTTAAAAATAAAGCAAGAGTGTAGCGGGTGGCCTACATGGTGTAATACAGAACACGAGAAAGACAACTACATTCGCGAGTATTACGATCGTGAGGGGGTTAAATTAGAAAAAAACAAAATATGCAAGAATCCAGGGTTACGTTTCTTGGCCAAATTAATGCTCAATTCATTTTGGGGCAAATTCGGGCAGAGACAAAATCTGCAGCAGACTGCTATCATTGATCAGCCTTACAAGCTGTTCGAAATGTTTGCATCACCCGGTCGTTGCGTCAATAACTTAACCGTTATCAACCCTGAAGTACTCCTAGTAAATTGGGAGCGCGTGGAGGAGGATATATTGGCTTCTAGCACCACTAATGTAGCTATCGCTAGTTATACTACTGCTTCGGCACGATTAGTTCTTTATCATTTTTTGGAAAAGTTGGGACGACGAGTATTATATTACGACACTGACAGTGTTTTCTTCACTGCCAAACCAGACGAATGGGTACCTGATACCGGCGACTTTTTAGGCCAGCTAACCGACGAATTAGCTGATTATGGTCCAGGTAGTTACATTACGGAATTTGTGAGCGGCGGACCTAAAAATTACGCCTATGAATTCTTGAATGCTAACAAAGGGATAATTGAGCCAGTGTGTAAGGTGAAGGGTATAACTCTACACTACTCCAATAATCAAAAAGTTAATTTTAACGTATTAAAATCGATGATTCTGGATAAAGAGGCTCCAAACGTGGTCGAAGTAATCGATAAACAAATTTTTAAAGATAAATTTTTTAATATATTAACGAAAGACGCAACAAAAAAGTATAGAGTAAACTATACTAAACGTCGTAGGTTAAGCAATTCGTACGATACGCTCCCGTACGGGTACAAAGGAGCGCTTTAGTATTTTAGCAATAATAATATGTACATCCCTGGAATAATGTTTTTTTAATTATATGTGTATACATTTTTCTTTTTTTTTTGTACCGTTAAATGTAAGTTTGGATGTTTATTTGTACGTAGTTATTTGCGAAATGATGTATTTACTAAAAATTGTGAAATAAATATTGTTTTTCATTCATACACTTTTTTTTTCGCCGCCGTCCGCGCCCCCCGCCGTCCGCGCCCCGACCGCGCCCGCGCCCGCCGTCCGCGCCCCGCCCGCGCCCGCGCCCGCGCCCGCGCCCCGCCGTCCGCGCCCCGCCCGCGCCTGCGCCCCGCCGCCCGCCGCCCGCCCTCCTCGCCGCGCCTCACGCAGCCCGTGTGGCGGCGGGGCGCGGGCGCGGGCGGGGCGCGGACGGCGGGGCGCAGGCGCGGGCGGGGCGCGGACGGCGGGGCGCGGGCGCGGGCGCGGGCGCGGGCGGGGCGCGGACGGCGGGCGCGGGCGCGGTCGGGGCGCGGACGGCGGGGGGCGCGGACGGCGGCGAAAAAAAAAGTGTATGAATGAAAAACAATATTTATTTCACAATTTTTAGTAAATACATCATTTCGCAAATAACTACGTACAAATAAACATCCAAACTTACATTTAACGGTACAAAAAAAAAAAAGAAAAATGTATACACATATAATTAAAAAAACATTATTCCAGGGATGTACATATTATTATTGCTAAAATACTAAAGCGCTCCTTTGTACCCGTACGGGAGCGTATCGTACGAATTGCTTAACCTACGACGTTTAGTATAGTTTACTCTATACTTTTTTGTTGCGTCTTTCGTTAATATATTAAAAAATTTATCTTTAAAAATTTGTTTATCGATTACTTCGACCACGTTTGGAGCCTCTTTATCCAGAATCATCGATTTTAATACGTTAAAATTAACTTTTTGATTATTGGAGTAGTGTAGAGTTATACCCTTCACCTTACACACTGGCTCAATTATCCCTTTGTTAGCATTCAAGAATTCATAGGCGTAATTTTTAGGTCCGCCGCTCACAAATTCCGTAATGTAACTACCTGGACCATAATCAGCTAATTCGTCGGTTAGCTGGCCTAAAAAGTCGCCGGTATCAGGTACCCATTCGTCTGGTTTGGCAGTGAAGAAAACACTGTCAGTGTCGTAATATAATACTCGTCGTCCCAACTTTTCCAAAAAATGATAAAGAACTAATCGTGCCGAAGCAGTAGTATAACTAGCGATAGCTACATTAGTGGTGCTAGAAGCCAATATATCCTCCTCCACGCGCTCCCAATTTACTAGGAGTACTTCAGGGTTGATAACGGTTAAGTTATTGACGCAACGACCGGGTGATGCAAACATTTCGAACAGCTTGTAAGGCTGATCAATGATAGCAGTCTGCTGCAGATTTTGTCTCTGCCCGAATTTGCCCCAAAATGAATTGAGCATTAATTTGGCCAAGAAACGTAACCCTGGATTCTTGCATATTTTGTTTTTTTCTAATTTAACCCCCTCACGATCGTAATACTCGCGAATGTAGTTGTCTTTCTCGTGTTCTGTATTACACCATGTAGGCCACCCGCTACACTCTTGCTTTATTTTTAAAAACGTGTTTACGTACTCCGAAAACAACCCACCTGTTTTAGTTTCTGGTCGTATTTTACGGTGTCGTATTCCCATATTTCAAAAATTTCGATAATTCTGTACTTTAACTCCAAAGCCTTACGCAACTCGTCTGCAACGAAAGTACCCGTAAACTGACGCTGTCCGTCGTTGTGCGGGCAATCTTGTTCATACAGGGTTTCAACACACGTTTTGCAAAGAGGAAAAGTTAATTTACCATTACATTTGTACGGCAGAACAGGGTGATACAACGAAACAGGTGGTAAAACAATACATTTAATAAAACCATGGACTTTGTTTAGATCGACTTTTACGCATTCTGGATGGCCGACATGAATGGCTGTAGGATGACCGACAGGGTACCGACCGTACTTGTTTACGTACGGGTACAACGAGCAAACATCGAAATACAGTATTCTCTCGCCTGGTTGACATTTGTAATATAACTGTGACGCGTTCGTACGACCACCGTAAAAACTGTCGCGCGGATTGAGGGGTGTGTTTTTTGAAAATAAATGATTATCTACAAACTGCTTTAGTTCCCGGTTTTCCGTTATTTGTTTACGAAAATCACACTCCCATATTACATTCAAATTATAGCCGTTATTTTTGATGCGTTCGTTTTTAAATATAGTTCGTTCATACCGCGTAACCATCAGCTCATTTCTGTCGGCCAATTCAGAATCAAAATCGGGAAAGCATCTAGGGCACCCATGCCAGAAGCATCCGGAAAATTCAAAAACGGTGTTTGTTTCGCTGCAAAATCCGTCGACCACGATATTTTCTCGCAAACGAACCTCTGGACCATTTCCAGCGTGCTTAATTCGGCATTGCAATGTATACTCTTGCCATAGTAACCAAGCTATCGCTATCTTACTATGCCGATCCCTACCTCTATAACCCCCTGTAGGTATAATACCTATTGTGTTGGGTTTTAAAAAGTTTCTCCTAAATACGAGATTACATGATGACGCAATAGTTATACACTCTAACAAAGGGTCTACATTACAGCTCTCCGTAAAACATTCGCGAAATTTCAAACACCCTCTCCTCAAAATATCAACATCGGATACACAATATTTTATTATCTCATTTTTCATGGTGAATACATAATTATCGGCAACTTGCCGACGATGCCAGTCCATGAAATCTCTGCGTTCGTTCTTTTTCATGACATCACAACCGTAATACTCGACTGATGGTATGTCTCCGGTGTAATTTTGATTCTCTAACGTGTTGAAATAATGAGGAAAATATCCTTTACCACCTTCTAATTTAAAAGTTTTAGGAAATGACGCCAGTGGTAGCTGAATAAAATTCAAACTGTCTATGAACCGTATCGAACCACCGCATGTTATCGATAATATTTTCATACCTTGCTTTATAACTTTTGGCTGCCAGCGTGATATATTCGAAAAAATGTGTTGTAGTATAAAAGCTCCGTCGAAATTTTTCATGTTGTGTGCAATGGCTGTCACAGCGAAAATCTTTGACATTTTGGCAATGTGTTCCATGAGCTGTGATACAGGCTCATTATTAAAAATGTATTGGCGTTGACCACATACACCACAATTTTCGCTCATATCATCGTTCGACAAGCACTTTTTACATATTTGCTGCGTTACACATAGATTTGGTTCATGCAGAAACAATTTTTCACCAATTTTTTTCTCTTGTCTCGTTTCAAAATCAAAAAAGATGAAAAGAAAATTATTATTTCTACCAAAATGTGCTTCATTGTTGTTACGCGTAACTTTGCAAGGGTGCATGTAGCAATCGTGCCTAATATCCTTATCCTCTTTGCATGTGTTACAAAATTTTTTTCCACACTTGTGAGTACTCTTTTTTTTGTTTTTTGGTGTAATCTCGGCGTGACAAGTACTACAACGCTTTATACGATCGCAAGTCTTGGCTTTTTTATGTTTATTTAAACAAATCTCCCCTTTAAAAACCCTGTTACACATATTACAACTTATTACATTTGGGTCGTCGTTACATGGAGGCGACGTTAGGCAACACGGGCATTTAAACGGACAATTTTTATGGCGTTCTTGCTGGGAATACTTCGTCAGACAATATTCGCAGAAAAATCGCGTTGCGAATGCACCAGTCAAACTTAAAATTACATTATAATGTTGATCTTCCAATAAAAGGTTAATCCTCGGCTTGTTGATATTATAATCCCCTTTAAAATATACCGACGTTCCGTCGCGTTTATTATAAACAACTATTATATAATCTTCTTTAAAGTAATTTTGAAACCGCTGAATTTCAGCGTGTCCGCCCCCATGTGTTATATCAACATTTACTCTTTGACAAAGTGCCTGAGCTAGATTTAGCAAATCTATTTTACCCTTTTTTGTTTTAAATTTCTGTAGCACCTTTCTATTGCAACCGTTAGCCGTATACTCAATAGCAACAATTAGAGACGCCGCTAGGCAAAAATTGTTCACATCCACAACAAAAATGCTGTTTTTTGCGATACAAAATTCTTTAAAATTCACGCACTTACCATCCAGTGCGGAAAATCCTCTACCTAGTGGCATATCAATCACATCTATGCGGATAGTCATCTTATCGTTAGCGAAAAAGCTAGCGTTGCTTTGAATGATAGCGCTAATGATGTCCATCACCACGTCCGCGCTCAGCTGTGATAGTCTTCGAAAAGAAATTCCGGCAGGTTTGTCTGGAAATTCTTCATTTTCGATGACCACTCCAATCATGCTGGTGGGTTGAAATCCACGGGTAATATAATCAAGTAACTCTTGAAACGCATTCTGAAACAAACGTAAATTTTAATATTTATTTATTTATTTTTTTTTGTATAAAATACCTTCAACCAATTTTGTGGTATCTCGTCATCGTTCACATCTTTAAACGAAAATTCCATCCGTCTTGCCGTTAGCCCAAATTTACGTATGAACGCCTCACACTCGCCTTTTTCATTGAAATATTTGTGATCTCCGTTTACTGCGAAATAATAATAGTTATTATTATTAATGATCACTTATTTATTAATGTTATTATATTCTATTACCTGTATCGCTTCTTTCCCCTGCACCTCTTTGAACATCTGATGTTTCACTTTCGTCACCTTCTGTAGCCCCTAAAACGTTCCGTATTATTAGCTGTTATGAATAAATGTTCATTTTCAACATACCTTTTGACCATGTCGATGTCGATACATTTACTACGCTAGCTTCTTCTTCATCGACATCAGTTGATTGCGTTTTGTATGAATTATTATTACTGGTGCTATTGTTCGAAAAAGTCGCATTCACGACAGCCTTATCGCTGGACCAACTAGCATCAGGTGAAGATTGATGGGCAGTAGCAATGCGAGATTCATGCTCTATAAATGAGCGAAATTGGTTTTCCAAGTTATTCTTCTGTTGAATCTCGACATTATTGATGCACCCGTCCTTCTCGGCTTCGAAAATTTCTGTTAAAAAATAATAATATTATTTAGAATTTTTTCTTAAATCAATTAATTAATTAATTTAGGATATCAGCTATTATCAACTTACCCAATTGTCTTATTCTTCCTAACAAAAGACCATATGACTTTCGATCGTTGTTGTCCAAAATCGCATCCTTATATATAATTCGATTATTTATATGATCCCGCACAGTTCGCAGAATTTTCAAATTTTCAAAAAAACCACTCGCGAACATCGTAAATATTTGAACAATCTGCAGGGTTTGCAAAAATTCTTCAAATCCTGTATTCATTTTGCGTTGACACAATCACAACTATCACAAATTAACGTTCACTATCACAAACCGTAGCGGCAGACACAATTTTGTCAAAACTAAAAAAATATAATTCTACAATAGGCAAACAAGGTAATATATAGAAAAAACCAATGAGGGTGGGGTAAAAAAAGTGGTAGGAATCAGATAAACCCTATTGGCATTTATCGAGAGCTAAATGGTACATACGCCGTTTACCCATGACTCAATACACGGAAATCTGTATCCGAAATAACTGTCGAATTAGTTAAATCGTCTGAAAAACGAAGATGCCAAAAACCGTCGACTTGCCCTTCGCAGATTTGCGGTAATGCACTCCGGCGCCTATTTTCTATTACTCTAGACTTAAAGGTTTTCTTATCATTGCTTGACATCAAATATTTCCGTCTTTGCAAGTCGCGACAGGACTTACAGTGACTGTGTCATCTTAAATTGACGAAAAAATGAAAGATGCCATAAACGTCGACTTGTCCATCGCAGATACTTAAAACTATTTGCGGTAATGCACTCCGGCGCCTATTTTTCTATTACTCTAGACTGAAAGGTTGTCTTATCATTGTATGACAACAAATATACCCGTCTTTGCAAGTCGCGACAGGACTTACAGTCACTGTGCCATCATTTGGGGATCTGACTAAGTGGCTGGGTAGTGAAACATTTCTATGTAAAGTCATTTCTTCAAAAATATTTAAATGTACGGAACAATGTACATTGTCGGCTTAGTTAAATCATCTGGAAAAAGGTACTCACCGACGTCTCAGGCATTTAAAAGGGGTAATGCAATATTGGCGCCTTCTTTGTTAGTATAGACAGAAAACTTATCTTAACTTTACATCATCTACTTCTTTAAGTGCATAAGTAATTGTCTCTGCAAGACCTTAGAGGACTTAACATTCTCTGTGTGATTACCTGCGAGAAGGTATTAGCATAGTGGCGCCCAATGTTACTCACAAAGAAAATTTAACTTTCGGCAAAATTGTAAGACTCGTACCTACCTGTCGTTACCCTATCCCTCCCTTTGTCATCCCTCTGAAAAATTAGTTTTACTTTAAACTTTAGAAAATACAGACGCTCTTATTCATTCAGCTTCGTAGTACCGTGTGTTATTCCTGAGAACGATATGGCCAACAGTAAGTTTTTAAGAATGTAATTTATTCTCATTTCTTATAAGTTTTTTTCTTTTTTTCTAGATCTGTGCATTATATTATTTTCCATCAGGCGGAAGGCCCCGTCTAGAAATGATCTTCGCAAAAGATTTATATGTCGGTTTTGTGCAAAAAACCATAAAGGACCAATGTGGATAGGCCACATCCATACGTTGGCGAAGGTATATTGCGCTAGGTGCAATGTACAAATTGTAACAAGTCGGAGATTCGTTTGCCAAGGTAGACAGCTTGGATTCACGGGCGGTAGATTCAACTACACCCACTTCGTCAGAGAGCGATATTATCCACTATCGGATGAAGAAGACGACGGCGACAGTGGTGTAGAATTGTGATGTGTGTAACTATATGTATGTATATAAATATAATCATTATTATTATTAATATGTAAACCGGCTGTTCGGTAATAAAAATATCTATTTAAATTTAAATTATTTAAATTCTATATCAAGTTAACACTGATCTAATTAAATTTTAATAATGGTATAATTAATTCAATTACGTTCGCGATTAAAAATTAAAGTGGTTAACGACTTCGGAGAGGGAGTACAACAAGAAAATACATGCAGAAACAAGTCTGTGCTTGTAGATGATGACTCGTCTGCAAAAAGTGCGTCGTCGGTATGTCTTTAATAACAAAAAGCTAATGGACAAACATCATAATGAGATGTTGCCGTGGGGCTAGTGATTAATGACTTCGGAGAATGGGTATAACAAGAAAATACATGCAGAAACAAGTCTCTGCTTGTAGATGATGAGTCGCTTGCATAGAGTGCGTCATCATTATTGAGCTATTGGCACGGGCTAATGGTCATTACGATCTAATTTTTAGTTAATAATGCAATCGATCAAAGAATTATCAAAACGCTTCAGATATTAACCCACATCAAATCGTATTATATTCAGAATGAATTAATGATGGTGTAATTAGTATTTTAATCATTGATTCAATTGCGTAATCTTAAAACATTATCGTCTTTATGTACATATGCATGCAACCCGCAATACACAATTAAAAATATATATTTAAATTTAAATTATTTAATTCCGATATCAAATTCATAGTGATCTAATTAAATTTAATAATGATATAATTAATTTAATTACGTTCGCGAATAAAAATTAAATTATGAGTAATCAAAATCCATTAAGATCATTATCTTGATTGACAGCACACGTCAAAAATCCATTAAGATCGTTATCTTGATTGACAGCTGTCAAGATAACGTCACCTGTCAACATGATTTATTACCCCACTAATCCTAGGCACTATCTACTAATGTGTTAATTTCGCTTTTTCATATTGAAAAATAAAGCCGTAATCCCACATGAAAATTTATGTGGAAACATAGAATACGTACATCCACTGCAGAGGAGCCTGCCTTAAGCTTATACTTACTTTCATAAATCAAAAAATGGCCTGGTAGGGTTATTCACAAGAAACTCCACACCTAAAAAATTGTAGATTATATTACTTCTGGCCAGTAAGAGAACAAAATTTCAGTACGTTTACCATAGTATTTTCCTGGACATTTTTGTTCCCTTACTTCCATGTAGTTGGAAACCAATCAAAATCTCTATCATTTTTATTATTTTTAAATCTGGAGACAATCATTACACTTGGGAGATTATAAGCGAAAATTAGATCACGTTATTTCACTTGTGTGTCTGCAAATAATTTTTAATGAACGAACCATAATAAGTGTTAATTCAACAAGACCTTTGAACGATATTATTATTCAACAGGCGTCACCTTTTGAAAACAAAATCAGTACGTTAATTACTATCTAAATGGGAGATTTATTCTTGAATTTTGATTTTCTAGAGTCGTGCCACGTTTGCCTCCGAAGAAAATGGTTTCGGATGCTCACTTCCTGGAGTCCCGACGCCGTGGTCTTCACAGATGGCTCACTCTTGTCTGTCGTCACCCCACAATATGTCACGACGCTCTCGTCGCCTTCTTCTTGACAGATCATGGACCGGACATCCAACATCGAATCCGCGACATTTTTCGAAGAGCTCCCGACGAATTCATGACGTCGGATTTAGCTGCTACTGCTAAAAATTTACTACCAGCGGATCATGGCGAGATAGCTTCGAGCCGCGAACAAATCAGGTCTCTAGTACAGGTCATAGGAAAATTAAAATTGTTGGCAGAAGCCGATATTGAAAGACAGAATTCGTACGCCAAGGACTCAGAAGATTTTGCTGCGCAGCTGAAGATTTTAAGCGCGTCGAGCATTGGGCAAATCTTTGGGAGTCAGTGGACTAGTATGCAGAAGGGATTCACTGCTTTGTCTAGGTGAGAGTTAAATTCAGAGTGAACTAAAAACTTCCAATGTAAAAATGTTATACAAGTCGTTACATAGCAACCGAGCAATTATAACATTTTTTCTTGGTTTTTATGTTTATTTTCTGTTCCAGGGAACTATATTCACTTTCAAATAAATCGCAACAAAATGCCAATGTGGAACAAATCACAGTCTGTGAACGTCTGGCTCTATTGCTAGATGTTCTCATTTCCCACAAGGACTTATGTGAACGTTTAGAAAAGGGTCTGGCTCATGATCATCAACAAGCCCTCGCAAAAATGCTGTCTTTAAAGAAACGCAAAATCCAAGGAGTCATCAGAGGCACAGATGTGAGAAATTTGTTCAAAAAATACGTAAATATATTCAACGTAACATTTTAGACTGAAAGTGTAGAGCAGCTAGAAGCCAAAATGCTAACCCAGGAAAGCGTTATCTCGAATATGGAGTTAAGGTCTGACTTCAGCCTTTATTGTGTCCACATGGAAACCCAGTTGGTTTACGCTTATCTTGAAACATTGTCTTCCATTTTAAATAGTTTAGTTTCATTGAGAATTAGGTCCCATTCAGAAGTAAGTAATTGGGTGATTGTAAGTCAAAAATACATAGTGAAATAACGCATTTTTTCTAGTTGGCGGATATATGGAAACAGGTCCAACCAGTCATCCAAGAATATCTTCCTATTGAGTATGGTGTCGTCAACGGTAAAGCATGACTGAACTAACATGATCATACGCTCTAATCAAAAGAATTGCCTTTATTATTTAAGTCTTATAGGTTAAAGGGACCAAATATACTGTTTTAATATGTCAATTAATTAGCAATAATGTCTGAAAGACTTTCCTAAATGAACATTCCATTTTTACTTTACTAAAAGTGCATAAACATTAAAATTGTGATAAAAATAAATGTAAATATTTTATATACTTTTACCCTGTATAAATAAAACTATTTTTACTCTTTAAAGATGTATTGTAGAAAAAACTTATTTACATTTACGCATCAGCGATGGTGACTTCAACCTCTACCCCAGGCTCGATATTGATCGAAGTGATTTGCTTGACGATCTCAGAGGGCGAGTGCAGGTCGATGACACGTTTGTGGATCCTCATCTGGAACCTGTCCCATGTTTTAGATCCTTCACCACAGGGTGTTTTGCGGGTGGTGATGCGTAGAATTTTAGTAGGCATTCGTACAGGCCCTTTCACACGCAACTTCTGCTTTTTGGCGGCATCGATCAGATCAGAGCAAACCTTTTCCAAAGAACGCACGTTTCTAGAGGTCAAAGTTATTCTGATGTGGTGAATTGGGGGCGAATCCTGTCCTGGTTTCTCAGGGTTGCCGTCTTTTGCAAGGAGTGTCTACAAAAATTAACAGCATGAGAAACATAACCAACAAAATTTTGTGGGGGGAATAAACCGTGATAATTTTAGTTTATTTACACAATATTTTTGTATTGGGGTATTTAGTGATACGTACCATTGTATAACCTTGAAATTAAGGGTACTTATTAGCGAAACAAACGTAAATCACGCTTAATTATGCGGTCGCCGTATGCATTCACGAAAAACGTGACACGAAAAGAGTTGGAGAGTTTTATTTTGAAATTATTACGGGTGGAGAATGTTGGTAGCGCTGCGTAATCTCACTGCTTCGCGGGATTTTTAAATATAGACAGAGTATCAAACAAAAGAAATTGGACACGACAATAAAATTGTGATACAATTTATATGAAACAACTGAAATGTGATTTTTAACTTCTTTATCCTGTTATTTTGTCAGAGTCCATCTTGGAATGGTCGTTTTATTTCTAGTTTTACACTGATTTTACGGCCTCCAGAACAGATATTACGATATTAAACTTGATCTAAAGGCCTTACCATGGCCTTACCTCAAAAATGACACCTTGTTACATATTCCTCACTCCAAACTAAACTGATCGAAGATCCGATATAAAAATTTGTTTATAGAATTAGAAAGGTTCAAGGAACCTAATACTTCAAATCGCAATGTGGATTATTGAGCCGTTTTGAAGTCAGGCGCGGATACAGGATTTTGTTTAGGGGGGGGACAATTTTTGTGCGATTGTACCTATCTCCCAGAAATTCGTTTTAAACAAAAAAATTTATAAAATTTTAGCTAGTATATTCTTTTTCACATAACATGGGTGACATTTGGTTTTTTTCATTACACGTATAGTGTACAGTAGAAACTCGATAATCTTAATTAATTGGGAAAAAGGTGTGTTCGGATTAACGGTTTGTTCGGATCAGCGATTTTCCCAAAAATCTGAAAGGAAAATGAATAACAACTTCATACACAACTGAAAACAAACTTCAAGAAATAAACCTAAATTTTATTAAATAAAATTAAAGAATTCTTAAGCAACAATGGATAATAATAGATACATTCTAAAAAAATATTACTCCGTGACCATAAACACGCTGTCTTTTTGGAATCAGCACCCCGGGATCTATACCCTGAATTTTTTCAGAATTTTTAGATGAATTTTTCAAAAATGAAATTTTCCATTATGTATTGCATGGTATTACCCATGGTAGAAGGAGACATGGTATAGGCATCCGATGTACCAATTTAAAAATGTTCTGCGCATTCATTTGTGACGTTAGGTGGCATCAACGACCTTGTGACTCTTGTGAGTCAAGTCAAGTCAAGTCAAATACATTTATTCAAGCAGTGGAGTACAATTGATTCTTAAGATATTACATGGCAAGAGGGGCGCTGCTGAGGCTTAGGGCCTTTTCAGCGCTGGTGACTCTTGTGAGCTTCGCTAGGGAAGTCTAGGGAATTTCAGCTTGAGTTGTCATTGCCACAGAATATCATGATCATAGATGTTAAATTAAGTTACCTAGATACCCGACTACCTAACCCTGCGCTGCAGAGAGAAGTGAAGCTTCAAGGTCGAGTGGCCGCCATTTGTCAGAAAGGCAAAACATTGCTGTCAATGTATGATCGCTTGGTAATATATTAGGAAAATAGTGCTAAATATATGCTATATATATGTATATATGAATTAAAGTATAGTTCCAAAAAGTGTTGGTTTATTAAAAGCGAAATATGCCGGCATCGTGTTCCGCATTTGGGTGTACAAATCGGTTTAAACCAGGAGGAAACGTCCAGTTTTTTGGGTAATTTGCGGTGGATTGCTAAATCGGTTTGTCTTTTTATTATGTGATTTTGTCTTTGGATTTCCCCTGAAAAATGAAAAGCTCTTGGAACAGTGGGTTAGAGTAATGAAAAGAAAAAAAATTACACCAACAAAAGCCAGTAAATTGTGTAGTGACCCTTTCACTGAAAGTGATTATTTGGTGCGTCCTGGCACGTATTTACTGCTTAGGTATTTTTTTTTTAATTTTAATGACTTCTGATTTATGTAAGAATTGGAAAACTATTTTAATTATTTTTCTCAATAACGTAACATTTGTAGTATATTTTAAGTTATATGTACTTTTGTTGTATGTCAGGATTGGCAAGCTAACAATAAAATGTGCACCTGATTTTCTTAGAACAAATAAATAATATTTTACCCTTACTTTCACCATTACCGTAATACGATTCTACAGTATTTTGCCTCTTTGACAAATGGCCGCCATAGGCTTCACTTTACGCGACGCAGTTGCGCATCTAGTAGAGTATAAGGTTAAAATCTATGATCATGATATTCTGTGTCATTGCTCTGTCCAATACGTGAATTAGTTGTCGGATAACGAATTGTATTTTAAATTTCGCGCTAATTTCACCCCACTTGACGTCACACCCGATGCGTATGCCTATACCATGTCTCCTTCTACCATGGTATTACCTACATTATGCAAATTTCCACCAATGCTCGACGATTTTCGAAATTTAACTAAATATATTTTCTTGTAGATTTTGGGCCTCAGAAGTCACTTCTAGCTTCATTTCTTCGATAACTTAAACCATTTTTCCAGAATCGTTCAGTTGAAATATCGCAATTTTTAAAAATTTCGAAAAATCCAAATTTCACAGCGAATTTTCCGAAAATATAATAATGGTATATTTTTGAAATCAGCACGTCGGGATATATATCCCTGAATTTTTTAAGAATTTTTAGGAAACTTTTTCAAAAATGAAATTTTTCTCATGCAAATTTCGACCCATTTTCGACAATTTTCGAAATTTAACCAAATACTTTCTCTTGTAGATTTCGGGTCTCATTTCTCCGATAACTTCATCCTTTTTTCCAGAGTTAGTTAATTAAGGCTTGTAATTAAATGACAAGTATAAAATGCATTTTTTTTAGGTAACTTAAATGGTTTGTTATGTACATTAATAAGTTTGTTCAGTAGAAATTGTAAGTATTAAAATAAAACGTGACCAGTACAATGTGCAAGTATTTAATTGTGCTGTGTTTAGTAAAAATAATAGATGTTCAGTAGAAATGCCAGAGTGTCTGGTTGACCTAACTCATGGTGGAAGGAGACATGGTATAGCCTATACCATGTCTCCTTCCATCATGGACCTAACTGGCAATGGCACGTTTTAATGAATACTCCTATTTAGTAAAAAATAGTAATCTATAAGTACATACGGGTAATTGTAACAATAGGTAGGAAACAATATTTTTAACAAATATTTTTATTGGAAAAATAAAACAAAGGTCTATACATACTAAAAAAAATAACAATAAACAGTAAAATAATAATAATAAACAGTCTTCATTGTTTCAATAATAACAAATAAATGATTCTATATAATAAAGATTAACATGCATATTCTAAAAAAATAATGAGGTTATATATCATGTGTGGGTGTTAAGTATAAAGAACACCATTATTTTCTAACGAACCTGTTCTATTTCTACTGAACGTCTATGATTTCTACTGTATATCCAACATTATTAACTAAGCTTTCGTTATTTTTACAGGACAATAGTTTTATTTACTGAACAAAATGAATAATATACATAACTTCCATGATAAAAACATATCGTTAAAATTAGTTACTATAACAAAAAATTTGTTATATGACAATTAAATTTTCAAATGAACAATTGTATAATAATATCGGTAAAGGTAGCTTGTCGAAAAAATATTATACTGAGCAGAATATTTTTACCGGTTAATTAATTCAGTGCATTGAAATACAGCAATTTTTAAAAATTTCACAATATTCCATACAACATAATGCAGGAAGATCTTGCGTCATTTTTAGAAGTACATAGATGCACGTTTTCAAGTTCAGTTCGGATTGCAGAGTTTTTGTTCGGATTAAAAAGGCATCGACTTCAAATAGCCTCTGTTCGGATTACTGGATGTTCAGATAATCGTGAGTTCAGATTAAAGAGGTTGTACTGTATTTACAAAATGAAATGCGATTTCAAAATTTTGAAATTGGTCAAAATAAAGTACCTCGGTCGTGTGTCGGGGAGGCAATTGCACCCATTGCCCCCCCCTGGATCCGCGCCTGTTTGAAGTTTTGTCTCTTTAAATTTGAAAAACGGCTTTTTTGCAAAAATTACACTTTATTTCATATTGCTTACTCCATACTAATAAATGGATAGAGTCCTCTGTCTAAAAATTTGGTGATAGATCTAGAAAGATTCAAGAAATCGAATGGTTCAAACTGCAATGTAGATTCCTGTGTCGTTTTGAAATTATGTCTCATTAAATTTGAAAAAAGAATTTAAGTCAAAAATGACACCCTTTTACGTATTCGTGACTCAAACTAAAAGGATCGCGTATCCGGTCTGAAAATTTGCGAATACTTCTCACCGCAATGAGGTTTCTTGTGTCGTTTGGGAGTTATTTCTCTTTAAATTTGAAAAAAGACACTATTTAACTCAAAAATGACGTCTTCTTACATATTCCTCAATTCATACTAAACGTTTGAATTATCCGGCAAAAAAATTTGCTTACTGATATTGAAATTTTCCAGGAATCGTATATTTGAAACCACAATGCAGATTCTTGTGCTACTCTGGAGTTATGTCTTGTTAAATTTGAAAAAATTTTGTTTTGACTCAAAAATGGCATTTTCCAATAATTTGTGTCTGCGATCTAAACGAATCGAGTATCCAGTCTAAAAATTAGATTCTAGAACTAGAAGTCTTCGAGGAATGGAATGCTTTAAACCGAAATGCAAATTCCCGGTTTTATTATTCAAAAATGACACTTTTCAATATACTTATAGTCTCTGAAAATGTGCTTCTAGAACTAGAAAACTTCAAGGAATCGAATGCTTTATACCACAATATGAGTTCTAGCATCGTTTGATTGTTATTTCTCGTTAAGTTTAAAAAAAGTCCCTTTTCAGCTCGAAAATGACATCTTCGTATACACATTTGCCTCTACGATCTGAATGGATAGAACATCAGGCCTTTGAAAGTAAAATACTTCAAAGAATCTAATTCTTGAAGCTATAATGGGGGGTCTTGTGCCGTTATGGAGTTATATCATGTTACATTTGAAACAAGGCTGCTTTCTAGCTGAAAAATGACACCTTCTTACATATTTCTCACTTCATATTAAACGGATAGAATATCTAGTCTAAAAATTTGCTCATGGAACTAGAAAGCTTCAAGAAATCGAATGCTTCAAACAAAAGTGTGGATTCTTGCGACTTTTTGAAGTTATGTCTTTTTAAACATGAAAAAAGGCTGTTTTTAAGTCAAAAATTATACTTTCTTACGTATTCCTCACTCCATATTAAATGGATCGAGTATTCGATCTAAAAATTTGCTAAGTAGTAGAATATAATTAGAAAAGTTGAAGGAATCCAATGCCTCAACGTCGATTCTTGTGCCATTTTGGAGTCATGTCTCGTTAAATTTCAATCAAAATCTCAAATTTTTATATAGGTAACTATACTGATTTCCATAAAAATCCGAACACCTCGAAGGAGTTGAGCCATTTTGTTCATATTATCGGATCCGAAATGGGCACAGTCATGGAAGAAATCAAAATTTCAACAAAAACCCTTTTTATCTTTTGAAAACAACGTTTCGTCTAGCAGAATTTTGCTTTGCTAATTGATTTGCGTTACTTGTGTAGAAAATTTTAGGGCTGTCGCGTAGAGAACAAAGTGAAAAATGCCAAGACGTTGTGAGCCGGTTTATTTTCATCAACTGAGTGAGTTTGAAAACGGCCGCATTGTCGGTATGAGAAGCCGGTTTTTCAATACGGCAAATTGCGGACCGTATAGGCCCTAGAGCTTCAACGGTGTTGCAGTGTTGGAGGAGATGGTCTGAGCAAAGATCGTCATCTACGAATTGCTGCCCTACGGGACAGATGTTCGACCACTCGTGCAATTGCAACTGATTGGATGGGTGCGTTGGATCTCCATGTCATCAGTTTATCGCCGAATAAGGTCGTTTGGGTTGCGTTCATATCGACCATTTCTTTGCCTCCCATCGCCACCAAGACATCGTGCTCGTAGCTTGCAATGGTGCAACGAGAGAGCAAATTGGGACCACGAATGGAATCGGGTAGTGTTGCCAGACGAATCCCGGTTTTGTCTTTAGGCTCTGGACGTAGGAGGATGAGACGATTATGTGGAGAACGTCGAAATATGAATTTCGCTGTTCAACGCCATACAGCTCTCACACAAGGTGGGATGGTTTGGGGTGGCAGGTGCCCTCTAGTTTTCATTCAGGGAAATTTGAATGCAAGAGGATAGATACATTGATACAGTACTGGAGCTGATTGCAGTTCCTTACCTCAGAGGGTTAGATCGACCCCTATTTCAGCAAGAAAATGCACGCTCGCATACGACAAGGGTCACAACGGAGTACCTTCAATAACATAATGTTGAAGTTCTCCCCTGGCCTGCTTGTTCACCAGATTTGTCACCAATCGAACGTGTGTAGGATATCATGGGCATACGTCTAGGTAACTTTCAGCATCCCCCGAATAATTTAAATGACCGTCGTATGCGGCTTCAAAAAACTTGGGACGAGATCCCACAGGACACCATATACCATCTTCTTTCAAGCATGCCTCGCCGAGTAACTCTTTAATTTATTATTTATGGCGGTAGATGATTTAGGAGGTTTTGAATTATTTAGGTATGTGTAAGAAAAACATCATGTATGATAAATTTATTTTATTATTTGTCATATAAAGCATGCGTTTTGTAGGCACCGTGTTAGCAATGGCCAGATCTTTCAGTTATTTCCATCACATCTCGGAGGGACATTCGAAGTACTTTACATGAAAACCCTAGAATTTTTGAAGCGAAAATCGTTCATTATAAGTTCAAACATTCAAACATTTTAATAATATTGAATTATAAATTACTTACGGCGCCCCAAGAGTCGTAAGTTCCGGTTATCCTGATGAAAACTACCGCCCTTTCTTTGAAACGAAGATTTTGACAATCTATGCAATCTTCATTTCTTCGATCAACAGCCATCTCCCAATTTGAATGATTGACAGAAGTTTCAACAAAATATCTAAAGTGTCTGGTACCACTACAATCATCTAATAAAAGTCTCATTGTTGAAATCATGTAAGGTTGAGCTGCGGATTAGTAATTTTTACAAAAAAAAAAAATAATAAGATTGCACTGAGGTACCCAGTTGTATTGTAATATTTCCACTGCCTATTATGTGATAGCAACTAGAACCATATAAATAACCGTCAAACAACTTGGAGGGACGTTCTCTTAGAAAATGATCGTCACTATTATTATTATTCTTATTCTACATGTATTCTTGCGCTTACCCTTCAATAACAATCGCTTTCTTGTCTAAAGATGCAACATTGTAATTGGGGCAAATAATGCCATTTGTAATTGTGGGCATACCACTTTTGAAATATGCTTTGAAGGATATGATGTGAAAATCCTAATTTAAAAGTAAATAAATGACGTGAGTACTGTTTATATTCTTACTTCGTTGGCTGTATTTTGCGTTCCTACAATTTTTATGTACTGAGCTACCTGCTGAGTAAAAAACAGAACCTGGTCTGAACCACAACTAATACGACTGTAGTCGATAACTCTTCTCCAATTCTTCTGATCAAGAGAAACCGAAATGTAATAAGAATAAGAACTACAACGAATTTTCTTAAAACTGTAAATAATATTTATGTACGTACCGGTTATCCCCATCCCAGAGTCTCATTTTGAAGTGGTTAACAATAAATGGAGTACCAAGCTTCACAATAATTCCACTTTGACCGTCTATACCGTGGTATGCATAGTTACTTTCTGTGTTTCCACTGTCTGTCAACAACCAAGATGTATTTTTTCCAAGAATCACTTCAGCGTTGTGTTCAGCAGTTGCTAGATTTTCGTCCAAAACTTAAAACTCTCATTTTATTTTTATCCCGAATTGGGAGAAAAATTCTTACGACAGAACCCGCTAGAAGTGGAAGTTTCTGTTTTGGCGCCAACGATCTCGGCAATGGCCTCTAACAATTTTTCAGAATTGAATAGTTTCGAAGGCCAAACTGTAGTTACGATGTCCACGACAGTCATCGACGATAAACGAACACACTGTATAACTAAATCATCGACATCGTTGTTAATTTTGCACCACTTAGCCACGCTTTTGAAAATTTCGATTTCAGGAGCAACAAAACTATTGCGTTGTAAAAGTTTAATAATCGATTTCTGTAACAAAACTATGACGTGTGCAAACATTAACACTACTTTGGTTTTACTTGGGACAGGTCGGTGAAACTGTCACTGGTGACGACTTGGGATGTGTTAAGGTCCACGAAAGAATAGCAGGCTTCGAGCAATTCTTCTAAATTGTAGAGATTGGCAGTGTTGAGGACGGCGCAAATATTTTTCAAATTTAGAAGGGGTTTTAGTTTTTTAACGATGGTAGTTTGGAAGTCTGTTAATGAATGTTGATGGGCAAATTCAAGTATCTGACGGGCTGAATCAACATCGATGGTATCTGAAATGTATCCATGAATCTGGTTCTGTTGTAAGAACTGATGGTCCACCTGTATAAATGTATTTTAATAGGCCACGTAATGTGTCAAAAGGCATGCCGGTTATTGTTATTTCGGTCTAAAATTTTTGTGTAAGGATTAGTTTGCAAGAAATTCTCAAATCTTTTACTTGGTTTGTGTTTTGCGGATCTTCGTAAAGTATAGACTCGAAGTATTTACTCCTCGCGGCCAGAATCACCTAAAGTGTTGTAATACATTTCCGATAACTCAAACCACGTAATTGTAGGCTAACCTTGTGAGCATATACTTTTTGGTCATCGACGAGCAACGTAATATCAGAAAATTTCTGGTTGAGGTAAAGAGATGCGACATCTCCGAGTAACTCGGTGGTGTCTGTAATAGTCACGGTTTCGTCACTTTCCACCATTTTCTTTAGGTTTTACACAGTTTAAGCATTGATTAATGTACTGTCGGGAAAATGAAAGAAGGCCGGGTGAAAGAATGTATGTTGATTCACTATCAGAACAAAGCGCTCGGCAATTAGTTATGATCATCAGAAACAATTCTGAACACGGTTACCTCGTGCAAAAAATAAATGATCTGGACTAAATTTCTCACACTCCCAAACAAACCCTGTACGAGTCTTCGCGAGAGTTATTAGCATTATACACTTGGATAATTGCACAAGACATGCGCCGTTGTGCACGATGCACGTGGGATTATGATGGCAGAAACCTATGGCAGAAACCATCCGGTACATAGTCGTCTCAATATGTCGCGCCGTAAGGGACAAACTATTAGGAGCGGGACACGGTTCAAACAAAAAAATATTTTTCTTGTTGTACTGTGATTTAGGTTTTTAAACACAATATTATTCTGAATTTTGAAGATGTAAGACGCTGCACGCACGCCCATGAATATTTCCACGCGTTCGTCTCCCTTTTCGCATCGACCAATTTTCATTTCCACGACAGTTTCAGTGTTTTCGTTTGACGAGATCAACACTGAAGGTGGAAATATTCTTTTGCCACAGATTACGGATACCAGATGGTTCACTTGTGGGCGTAACTGTCCGCAAATTTTCCGTGCGCATGACACTAAAATTGGTTCGGCACTTTTAAATCTCTTTGAAACTGGTTCGACAGATTAACACGCAAAATAATATTTACAATGAAGCAGATATAAGAATAAAAGTTTAGGTAATAATTCAGGGAATAAATAACATTACAAGGATTAATTTCTACGTTTTTGGTTACGAAGGGATTTTTTTAAAGTTTTAAAATAATCAGAAAATTAGTTAAATAAATACCTACCTGCATTAAACTGTATTACAGTATCGTTTAGTAAATATATCTTGTCTATAATGCCTGATTTTGTAAATGAATAAGAGAATACAACATTTTCCCTTCTTTTCCTTTAAACTCGTTTCAGTCTTAAATAACCACCAAAAATCGAAGATCATTATAAAGACGAGTAGATTAGAAAACTGTAACAACAAAGTTCAGAAATGCAAGCGCAGCAAATTTCATTAACTATTCCCTCCAATTCTTCTAACTTTCGGTAACCGTTTAAGCCGTATAGTTAAAGAGGTTACGTTTATTCACCATGCAAAAATTTTAACACCACTTTCTTGTTAGCACTATATTCGAGAATACGTGTTTTTTACGCTCTAAAATTTTTTAATGCCGATGCATGTGTCCGCAATTCTTTTCAGAGGAAATTGTGAAATGTTAAGCATTTGTAATAATCATAAATCATTTTGTGTAAGGCAAATAAGTATTTTGTTCGTTTTTTCTTCACTTAGAACCTCATCCCTTGCATCAGCGCTGTAATTTTTCTCTGACCGCCGCGCTTTTAAATTCAAAGCTTGCGAACCAATTTTGGTAGAGCGTGCGTAGTAGCGTGAATACCGCTTGAAATCTCGGGACACCGACTTCAAAGTTTCGACAGCTGAGTGAACTATCTGGTATCCGTAATCTGTGCTTTTGCTTTATATAGGCAACACAAAATGATAGAGAAAGAAGCGTAACCACATCGGTTAGAAGGCGGATCTGTATGTAGAAAAATGTTTAAAATGGTAATGAAGAACAAAACATGAACTACCAGAAAATTTGTAGTGAAATGTGTTAGAAATTACAATTAAATAAATGTACTGAGATAACTTCCATCATTGTTTTTGATTTCCCTAGAAAACACACTTTATTCTTCTAGCTTACTAAAAAAAAATGTTTTTGCGCTGCCATAGTTGTAATTGACATTTTACGTTGACACGTGGCGTGTCGCAATGGCAATGAAAAAGGATCTAGTGTTGCAAAATACAAACGAGGAATTTAAGCTTTAAAAAAATAAATTGAGTATCACAAAGTAATTACTACTAATTGATAATCAAGTATCTAAAGTTATTATAACAAAAAGTGGCTCGAAATTTAAAAAAAAGTGCAATTTAAGTTGTAATCTTAAATAGGGGAATTTGTTGATCAAAATTTAGATTTGTAGTAATTTGACAGTTAACACTAATCGGTGGTTTGGTTTATGTTGTTGACAACTATTATGTTATTACTGTTTGTTAGTAGTTCTTGTTAATTAAAAAAAACCTTTTAAACTTGACGTTATTCGCAACCTCACGCTGAATCATAATCACAAGATTCTCTCTGATCTGGAGCCGTATATAAAAATGTTTCCACTGGTAAGTATTTCCGACTTCTTGGGCTTGTGTCATTCTGCCGCTTTAAAAACGCTGTTAATTTATAAAATTTCGAATGATTTATGTTATGTTTGATGCAGAGTACTTTTCAGAACTGAATATATTGTCCACAGTGTGGATGCTTTGATAATTTCCGACTTAATTTGGAAATAAACTAAGAGCGTTGTTTCAGAAAATTCGCGTATTTTATTGTTTTCGCACCACTTGATGCATTTTTGATATTCGGCTTCATACGGATTTGCGGCTTTTGCAGGCAACAAATTTGCAGTTGCTTTATCTGCAGTTCTCTGAATACGTGCACGAATTTCCTTTTCAACTTTGAAATTCAAAATCTAGCCCGGACAAATTGACAGATTGGTATTTGACGTATTTAGTGATAAATTCAATACCAACATAATTTCGGTTCAGTAGTATTTATTCTTTTAGCCGTCGCCTGCGTTGACAGTTGCGCTGATAAAGCCTGCCGAATAGCCACCTTTGACAGATAATCCAGTAGTTACTTTCGACGCCATTTTCCTTCTGAGGGCGCTAGTTATCCTTGAATGACAGTTCAAATTTGAATTTGACGCATTTGTTTGTATTTGTAATTTTCGTAGTTTTGAACTAATAAAATACGATTAAAAATGCATTGTTGTATACCATCCTGTTCAAACAGTGATTCAAATGTTACCTACCACGAGTTTCCAACGCAGAAGCAGAGGTTTTCTGCGTGGATAAAAAGTAGCACTCTTGGGGAAAATTTGAAAGGTTTGCATTCTTTAACTATTAAAAAATAAATAAAATTCTTGATATAACGTAATAATGAACGTTAATTTCATTTAAGAAAACTTTGAACCTCCTTCGGAGAGGCCAAAAATCTGTATTCTTCATTTTAATAAAAATTATTTTTTCTACGATTCTGTGGGTAGATGCAGGCTACAAAGACATGCAGTTCCCTAGTTTAACAAAGGTGTAAGAGAGAGGTGTAAGAAGGTGTGTAACTGATTAACCGAAACCATTTTCATCAATCAATAATAATCAATGAAAAACTTCACCAACAATCCTAAACCTACACGGAACATCATAAAGCAACAATTTCTTCTGTACATTCAAATTGGTCAACTGTCAACGAAGGATAACTAGCGCCCTCAGCAAAATGTGTCCAAATTTTGCATATCGTCCAATTTCGCTATTCGGCAGGCTTTATCAGCGCAACTGTCAACGCAGGCGACGCTTTTAGCGATTGAAAAATGTTATTTTTTCAAAAAGGCAGCGCAAAAAATATTGTATGATACTCGTGTGAAAACTCCATTGCATTACTCACTTACATACAGCGCTCGACTGCGTCTCGCGCCATATTCCCGTTCGTAATGCAATGGACCGTTTTCAACACTTGTAACATAAATAACTATTACTTCTTATAAAAAAAATCATCAAATTTTCAGTATATACCTACACAAACAAAAAATTCATAATTCTAAATTATTTTTAAAACGTTGGACAAACAAGCAACAGATATTTGCCTAACAATCCGTCCTCTGCTTACAAGAGGTTGTTTTCTATTTTGCTAAAAAACAAATTCTATTCCATTATCAACAATAAGTCAGCAATTTGGTTGGGGAAAATTATTATTATTATTTCATAAGACATAAGCGCTTTAGGGTTTGCTGAAAGTCTGAAGTGACGGAAGAATTTTAAATTTATAGGTATATCAATGAAACCAGAAGCGGATAAAAAATTATCTAAAAAAAATGAAAGTGAAAATACAGAGATCTTTCAAGAAATTGATAACGGCAACATTTTTGGATCTAGCTTTTGTGATTTTTGAAAAAAAAATTACTCAAAATGTAAACTAGAGCACATTTTTTTTGAGAGGACGCAAATAATATCGAGAAACGTGTGTATCTGTTTCTAACATGAATTATGTGCCTTGGACCCATAAAATATTGCCAAAAGGTATGTTTACTGGTATACCATAAAACAATTCTTAATATAATAATATTGCCATCTTTTCGTATCCTAGAAAATAATCTTTGTTGCCAGTCGTAAAGGGACAATTAGTGTCAATTACAAAAGAAACTTTTCAGAACTACTTTTGCCTACTCTTTATCTTCATTTAGTTCTTAGATACTGTTCGTTTTGATTATCTGGTACTAAGATTTTCGAAATTTTCCGTTTGAAAGCCAAATTTTTAAAAATCATAAAAACTGCTTGACCAAATTGGTTAATTTTTGACGATGCTCGAAAAAGTAATTTTTTTTAGATACTAGAATTTATACGAATTTTCGAAGAAATGAAACTGAAAATAACTTCACATGTCGAAGTTTACAAAAAATATGTTTCAGTAATTTTCCAAAATTGCAAAAAAATGCAGAACTCGAAAAATCGAAAAGTCGAAAAACTGAAAAATCACAAAATTGAACGAAATATTCATAAATTGGGAAAATAAAGGATTGAAAAATTGGAAAATCGAAAAGACAAAAAATCAAAGTCGAAAGCAAACTTAAAAAATGGAAAAATTGAAAAATCAAAAATCTGAAAAAATCGAAAAATTGAAAAGAAAGAACTGAAAAATCGAAACTTTGGGAAGTCGAAAAATGGGAAAATCAAAAAATAGATTAATTGACAAATCGGAAAACTGAAAATTCAGAAACGTCAAAATTTGAAAAATTAAAAAATACTGAAGAAGTGAAAAATCTAAAAACCTAAAATTTAAAACATTTAAAAATTTTTGAATTTAAATATCGTAAAATTGAAAAATGGAGAAATCGAAACAACAAAAAATCAAAAAAATAAAAATTCGAAAATCTAAAATTTAAAAATCGAAAAACTGAAAAATCAACAAATCGAGAAATCGAAAGTCGAAAATTTAAAAAATGAGAAAATTCAAAAATCGGATAATTCAAAAATCAAAACATCGAAAAATTGAAAAGCCCAAAAGTAAAAAATCGAAAAACAGGAAATCCAAAAATCGAACCATCGAAAAATTAAAAAACTGAGAAATCGAGAAATCTAAAAATCAGATGATCGAGAAAACGAAGATTAGAAAGCCGAGAAGAAAAGTCAAAAATTGAAAAATTGATAAAATTGATAAATTGAACAATCAAAACATCGAAATATCTTAATTCGATAAATCGAGAACTCAAAAAATTAAAAAAAAAAAATCGAAAAATTGAAAATTTATAAATACTAGGGATGTACCGACTACTGGCCGACCGGTCGGATAAGTCGACTATTCGGCCGTTTTTCATCGTCGGCTGGCAGTCGGCGACTGGTCGTCTAAACAGCCGATCGGTCGACTTTTTTTTATTAAAATTGAAATAGTATATAAAACAATTAAACCCGGTTTACAGAACCTCAATTTAATATTTAATTGCGATTTAATTTTTAACACCGCGTCAAAGTACCATGTGATCGACTCTACGCCAATCAGATGTCACTAATGGCCTTGTTAAATGCGGGATCAACTTAATCTCAGTTAAAATATTGTATAAACTGGGCCTAAATTGTGTTATTCTTTATTTTTGTACTGAGTTACTACAAAAAAATTAAATGTTAGAATTATTATCCAAACAAATTTAACATATTTTTTGGAAAACAAACTTTAGTTATTCCTTTTATTAAAATAAAACAAATTTTTACGGTAGAAACAGAAAAAAAACACTGTCGCATTTATAAACCGGTTTTAGCAAAGCCGAACAGTCGGCCGACTAGTCGGTTTTTACTGGCCGAACAATCGGCTAGTCGGTTAGTCGGCCAGACCTACAGTCGGTACATCTCTAATAAATACGGACAATTGAAAAATTGAAGTATAGAAGAACAGAAAACTCGATAAATCGAAAAACCTGGAATTTTAAAAATTGAAAAATCGAAGTCTAAACCAGTCGAAAAATATAAATTCAGAAGTTTAACGAAAAATTGAAAATCCAAAAAGTAAAAAACGAGAAATCAAAAAATCCAGTCCAAAAATCGAAAAGTTGAAAAAGAGAACAAATTAAATGCGCACTAGTTTTAATGAAATGTGAAAAGTCCCAGCATTATTAAAAACATTCAGCACAGAAGAAACTATTTCAGCATTTGTAAAACTGAAAGGGCAATAAATAAAATAATGGCAGATTATTTTTTCTATTTGCGCAATAAATAATGCAATTTAGAATTATTTAATTAAATTTGCTCATTCGTTAAAATAACTGTTTCTTTAATAAATCAATTTGTATTTGAGAAAAAATAGTAGGATATAAAATTTAAATTACTATCTACTATTGTAAAGTTTGGAGGTTACGCCATTTCATTGTTGGTGTCAAATTTTGGTGAGCGTTTTGCCATTTGATAATACAATTTGAAATGTACATTTTTAATATTAAATCGTTAAGATGTCCAAGAACTTTGTTCACTTATTTGTTGTAAAGTCCGACCAGATGGTCGAAACGGGTTAGTTCTGCGTAGTGGATGTGTATCAGATCAACTCTAACGAAAGTCGGCTTATAGATACATCGCTTAGAGTCGATATTGGCCTGAGTGCGCTCTGGTCTGTAGATCAAACAAGTTCCCAGGCAACGAAGAAAACTCTGAAGAACTGAAAAAAATTGTTAGAAAATCCCTGAACCAAATTTTTGAAAATATTAAACTTCAAAGTTAGAGTTAACTGATATGTTTTAATGCGAATTTAATTGACAGTCTAAAATTCCGATTATAATTATTAAAAATGGCATCTGTCAACAGTAAGAAATGTCTTTGTGGATCGTATTTTGTCAAATTATTATTAAATTACTAATAACAGATTATTATACAGTTTATGAAAACAAATCAGAATTACCAAGTTAATTCTTTAATAATACCAATAACAAAGTTATTGAATAATAAGCTTGTGTTGGTAAAACAGTGCTTGATTGATCAAACACAACAACAATTTAATTTGTAATTTCAAAAAGGGCAACTGTTTAAACAAAAATTAATCGCATGGTGGCGTCCCACTCAACGAGTATAATTAGTGTAATATCATTTTATTATTGATTTTCTAATCTGAGAAAAAATAATCGCAAACAAATAATGTTATTTTTTTATTTGAATATTCTTATTCAAATTCAATAACTGCAGTTTTTCAGTTTTAACGAAAGTATCAAGCTTTAGCATCGGGAATCTGCCAAACAAACGTAATTTATTTTTGAATGCATCCATAAGTGGTCGATATGTTTTTCTAGTGGGCGTTAATACTGATCTATTATTCCGAAGCAAATTTTATGTAGGTCGTATGGAATATCAACACTTTGCAATGAAAAATACAGCAAACGCCGTCATTGATAGTGTGTTATTATTATTACTATATTATTCGGTTATTTTTATACATTGCACACAAAACTGATAATAGTTATAATCATTGCCTTAATTTACGTGTTGCATGTCATTCCATACTTTAATGCGATTTTCATGGTCGACAATTACTTCAAGATTCGACGTGCACTATTTTAAATAAAGGTGAAACAGATGTGACGTCTTTGATCGCGCCATGTGCATGCCGATAATCTCAAAATAAAAGTTCTCTTGTATTTTTCCGTTGATTAAAATAACTTTTTTTGTCATGCGCTATATCTTCCTTTAATTTTGTATATAAAATAGACCATTGATAACGATAATCTTATGAATAAGTATTTACTTACTATTAAAACATTGTACACGGTAGAACTAATAACCACCAAATTTCAAAGACCATATTCCTCTTCCTTATAATTGAAATCAACGTTTTTGTTTTTTCTCCATTCACTAAAAAATAAACGAGTCTATTGTCAACAGTACACATGCCAAGCTTTTATTTTCTAATAATAATTAAGTACAGTTTTGCAGATCGATTATAACAATGATTTAGTTAATATACAGATTCACAGTTCAGTATCATGATTTTTCTTTTGATATGATGATCAATAAACAAGTATAATAAAATGTATGTACAATATGATTTTATAAAATTATATTTTTATATCAATAATAATAATAATAGAAGAAGAAAGAAAACACATAACTAGTTCACTATGTTTTTGACACTGTACGTATTCTATTGAATTCTGATCCAATTTTCCGTAGGACGAACGACCGAATCGAAAATTGCAATGATTTGCTTCTAATCAACGACAAGATCTGAATGTTAATTTATGCAGTTGTTACAATGCCCAGGAAGTTCATGTCCTGAGCAATAAATTCTAGGACTGTGCGAACTGTCCCAAATTCCAGGGCCACATCGCGTGCAGAGCCCCGACAGCGTACAAGGGATTTCCCTCAGTTGCCTAAACTGGTGAAGCAGCCCTCTAGCTTTTCGCGCGATAACTTGACCATCCATATACATTGCTGAAATTGGAACTTACGTTATTACGTTATATATTATGGGGATGTTTTTTTTCACCTAAAGAGCTAAAATGCAACAACATCTCATCGGCCCTTAAATCTTGAGCAATAACGTCATCGGCATAAACACAGATTATAGCGAGACACAGGAACAAGTGGAAATAGTCCGTTAAATAGTTTGCCCAGCAGGCTTCCCACATGCGCAAGGCCACTGCTTCGGTAAATTCCCGTTTGAAACATCTGAAACAGTAAAAAAGTAAAGGTGATTATGATTAATAACTTATGTTGATACATATTTTGGTATCATGTCAATTTTCTAGTGTAAGGTATTGCTATAGTATGGGACAATTAAATGTTTCATGTTCGCTGCTTTGCAGTTTTAGTACTCATTTAACTTTCTTTCTAAATTCAGGAAATAGTGGATGCAAACTTTAATCTGGATAAATGCACAAGAACGTATAAAGTGTTGTCAAATTTGAATGATTTTCTCTTGTGTAATTTGTCCGTCTAGATGTTAAATTATTAGTTATGCATGGGGAGATCCGTATCAGCCTGAAAGCCGCAGTTTGGGAATAACTGGCTGCTTTGCTAGGGTCGGGTATAGCGGGAAGGATGCGGCAGGTCTTTGGATGTGGAGACATGGTGTGTATTGTACCATTTAATAATGTAAATTATCGAGGCAGATGACCGACTACCACGAAGAGCCTTAATTCCGCTCTTGTTACCCGATTCTCCCTCACGCGTTTTGCTATAATTTTTGTACACATGTCTCAGTTTGGCGGGATGTTTGAGCCATCGCAATAATAAAACGCAGATTCGTTGGTAACGCATTGTTTCACCTGCTTTGAAGGACAAGACGCCCCTCTTTATGACCAATTTATCCGATGTGAGCAGCATTATTATTAAAATCTTTTGTGTTTGCATGTTTGAGGATAAAATAAATCTTGTTTGATTAAAAAAAAACTGAATGATGCATTGTGTTAATGGGTGAGCATGTCAGCCTTCAACACCTTATTTGAAAGATCGTTTACTTATCAGGGTATCAGACTATAAAATTTATTTAGAGATAATTTAAATTTGAATAGCTTTCCTCTCACAACAAAGTCTATTGTGATTTTTTAATGAAACATCCTATTCTTTTTACACACACATAATGAACACATTTTAGACTTTCAATTGAAATTTGTTAACAATGCGAAGGTTCGCCAAAAATCTCAGTCGGGTTATTTTTAGCAATATTTTGTAGGTAAGTAACAAAGGTGTGTGCGGCAGTACCAACAAAAGAGTGGCGGCTGGTCAGAGGCGGCAGGGTCGACCACTTCGTACCAGTCATTTCAAATTAATAACCGTCGAAATTAGAAAATGAAAAGAGAAACAAAATTAGAATGCACATTGATTATGGAACAGATTAAAAAAATATTTTTTCCTGAATAACATAGATACAGAATAAAATATTTGTTGGTAAATCATGTTGCTGCTAGAAATGAAATGTTTATAAAAAATTTTTATTTCTGCAGATCTTCCTTCCCGTATAAATTACAGTCGAACAAATATGGCTTCTTGAGAGAGATATAAAATTTAATTTTGTAAATTTTATCAAGGACACGTATGTCAATTTGAGTAGGTGCAATGTAAAACTAATAATAACAGTACCGTATACCGTGAACCGCTCTTCATCAGATAAAACAAATAGTATTAAAATCTATGAAAAACTACAAATAAAGGGTTATATTGTGATGACCAGATTTGAATTAAAATTTCGCGCTAGAAAAAAACAGCGGCGCGAAATCGCATTTGAGTAATTTGAATTTTGAAAAAAAAATCAATCAAGAAAATCGTTAAATATACCAAGGACACGTTTAGTTATTGTTAGCTAGTCGGCAGCTCTCCTAAGGAATTTTCTGTTGAGAGCGTTTGTAGAGGTTGATTTGGTGCTAGAGCACGACGAGATGCGTCACTTTTGGTTTGTTTGTTGTGAGTGCAACCACGTGATGAGTTAGCTCGGTTAAGTTTAGTTGCTTTGGTAGTTAATAAAACCGAGGAAGCCTTTGTTTAACGACAATTAATCGAACCGATTGCGATGCTACAGTTTTCCTCAATAGGCGTAGCTAATTCTTTCGGCTTTCGAAGAGGAAATATGTGAATTTTCGACAGAACCTAACACGTGGTGTAAATTTATTTTTTCCACTAGTAACATTGCAATAGCTAATTATCGACTTGTCTAGAGGGCTGTAATTTAGAAAATTGTGAACCTTGGTCAATAATGTAAACGTGAAGTTGGCCACCTAATGTGACAACTGTCCACAACTGTCATAAAAAATGAGACATAACCTGAAAACGATCATTTTGGAAAATTTGCTTTTAAATTATGCCCTGGAATGATTTCCAAACCCTGAATTGATTATTCTCGGTGTAATTGAGGATAAATTGGTGAAACTAAGTTGATGAAGTTGATGGGAGTGAAAATGAAGTAGTTTACGGGAGTGAAACTGACTCATGGTTCCGATTTGGTTTGACTTGATTTGTCGTAGATGAGCTTTGGACGATTTCGGCGATTTTTTTTTTTATTGAAGATCGAGCCGTCGTTGTATCCTTTGCTACGCTGGAGGATTTCCATTCCCCGTGTCGCTTTAACGATAAAAGGTCGATATCTTTTTCAGCCAAATTTGTCGTGGTCGCGTAAGTACGACGGAATGAGCAGGGGTACATGATGGTTCACTTTACAACATTTTCCACACAAAAATTTATTAAAAACGGGAAATATGGACGAAATGAAAACAAAAGTTCTGGACCATTTCTGGATTGTCAAAAAATAATAAAATTCCAAAGCTTACTAAAATAACGTGAGTACACGTTTTTATTGATGCACTTCAGAAAAAACATTTTGAAAATTCGCAAACCTCAAATGGCTACTAGTGGAAAAAATAGTATATTAACCACGTTTGTGAACCCAATTCTAGACCTCGCGCTTTCGAGCCCTCGACGCTGCGCGTCTCAGGTTCTAATTTGCGCTCGGTCTAGAATGTCTGTCTTCACAACCTTAGTTAATAATATACTATTATTGTTTGTAAATTCACAGTTCATGTTAAGATTTTAATCGTTAACTGATTCTAACACAATTTAACAGTCGGGAGTTGTTTACATATAGCACTTGCTAGGAGATTTCATGAAATTCACTTAGTCAGGAGTCATTATTTGTTTACCAAATTATAAATAAGGTTTCTGGATGCTTATACTCAAATGTTACATTATAACACTTCTTAAATAATTGCTCACACAAGATTGTTAATAGTTCATTTACGGCAGTTAAATCAATCTCACGGTGCCCTACTCTGGAAAAAAAACCATGGAAAGTGAGGTAGAATTCATAATATCGTGAACTGAGGTACGGGGGGATTAAAAATTTCTCCCCTTAAGTAGTTATTATGATCGTATCATCACCGAGACATTTTCTCACAACGTTGAAAATTACATCACCGAGCTGGGGACAGTTCACGTATAAACTCTCAAAGCTAATGGTTTTAAGTAACCAATTACGTGGATCAAGGCATAATTTAACATCCGGTAAATTCTTTGTTTGAATCTTGATAAAGTGTGGCATTATTTAACATAATGTAAATTCTTTGTTTGAATCCTTGATAAAGTGTGGCATAATTTAACACGACGTAAATTCTTTGTTCTGGCAGCGGCCATGTTGAAAGAGTATTTTCAAACCGAACACATGTTTGAACTGTAAAATTTTATTGAACAAATTAACAACATTGTGGGTCATGGGGGACGTGCATTTTATTCCTTTGATTTAGACCACAGGATTGATGGAATTTCTGGGAGACATATTTTTGACGCATTTTTTTAACAACGCACTCGTCCGACGCCATTTTAAGCCTCAAGATTGCCTGCTATGTATTTTTGTTTATGTGTTTGTTTAGGGGAATATATAACAAAGGCCCACAATGCAGCTGAACAACTTCACTTTTAAAAATTTAACTAAATAACTCGAACGAACATAAAATATTAATCTCATGTAATTTTGTTAGCTTTGCAATTTTTCACCTCATACAATTTTTCTCTATCTCACAGTTTTAGCCTCAGTAATTTTCTTTGTTGTATAATTTAAATTGAAACTAAATTTTCATGCTCTGCATTTTCTAACCTCACGTATTTTTTTTTATCTACACAAGTTTTACTTCACACCAGATACTTTTTATTTTTATAAATCTTTGCTAGTTTTTTTCATGGAAATATTTTGATTAATGCTTCCATTATATAACTGTCTGATGTCCAGATCTTAATCTCAGATAAGAATTCTTTGCTGTTTAAAATTTCACGAGAGTGAATGGCGAATTTAAATGTTGTTTATTGCTCTTTTTGAAACTTTGACACTTGTTCAGTTGTAGTTTAATATCAGACCCACAGAAAGTGAACATTTAAAATGGAATTGAGGTAAATAACACAGAAACACGTGGCACAAGCGGAGTACGCGGTTCCTTGTCGAGCTGGCGTTCGCGCCGTCTGCACAAAAGACCCAGAGCTAGAACAGAAGTCAGGGGAGCGGTCGGGATGACGTGACGCTGTCAACTTATTTATAGCTGTGATTTCCAACCACCAGTTTGCGACCGTAACGGCTTGTTAGCGCGGCACCTTTCTTCATTAGATAGAGGGGTACTGGGCGGCATGTACTTGCCGATAGGATAGAATAGAATGACCGTCGTGGGTGGGAGAATAGCCTCAACCAGGAGCTCCAAACTTCACTCGTGCTACAACGCCGCCTATGGATAATTTTCGCTGTGCTCTAGAATGAAATTGATATACTTCGATCGTCAACACTCTTATAGCGCTCTGGTGCCGCTGCCACTGCACAGTTTTTTATTAAAATTTTGTTGTCTTGTTGATTGACAGATTTTTTTTCTTTGTTTTGTTAAATTTGTGTACGAAATAATACGTCTCCCGTTTACATCTATTTGTCTGTCTGCCGCCTGTCGTCTGTCCGCTGTATGTGTTAATTTTTATTAGACAGATAATTTCCGAAACTACTGGACCGATTGTTGTCAAATTTTAGTTGATATGTAGAACAAAATAATATACTCCTGTACTCTTCCTTTATGAATTGTTTTTATTTATTATTATAACAATTTTTATTGTTTAAACCTTCTTCTTCACGAAACGATAAACCCCATTTTTTTATTATTGGTATTATACTGCACGTGTTGGAGTTAACATGCGTGTTTTTGCTGAAATGTTGAACTGAATATTTTCCTAGAAACACAGGAATAGCCTTCCTTTTTAGTAACGCATTCATATATTTAGATCAATTATTGTTAATTGAGCCTCAGTTTCGTTCTACCAAATATAAACAAGTCAACAGAGTGTGCGTTCGAATCAAAGGCAGTAAACACTTGAAACATACGAACCGAGTATTTGTTTAAAAAATAAATACATATCTTTAGCAATGTTATATTCACTTATAATATTATTGCCCCGTCTGTACTATTTATTCGAAAAATGCAAAAATCCTATTTTGTAACGACTTACTGGGTTTTTTTTATGTCATTTGCTTTCTTAAATACTTTCAGATAACTGTAACCTAGGCATTAGCTTTTAACTAAATAAGTTGTGCTAGCATACACTTTACATTTCAGAATTTTCAACAAAGTTCAGATTCTTTGAGAGTAATACTTTTCAGGGACGTCTACTTTTCTACTTTTTAAGCTACAAAAAAGAACACAATACGTACAACAAAATCCAGCGATGACAAAAAAGCAGTTCTGTAGCATCCCTATGCTTCTCTAAATGTTCATAAAAACGAGGCACCATCAGCTTAACCAACTCTCTCAAATACCTTAACGACCTATCCATATCTCTATCCGTAGGCGTTGCAACAAAAACAGCCCTTTGCATCAATCCCACAAAGCACCAAAACGCAGCCACTTCGTCTTTGAGTTCGCAAAGAACAGGTGCCAATAAATCACTCATACCTTGCGTATAGCCCAACCCTGGATTATATACAGCGTAATTTAGTAAAATATTTTTCATAACATCTAAATTGGGATTGTCATCGCCCGCAAAAAAGGGGTTGCCTCTGTCAGTTCTTACGACATCTTTTTCTATAACACTTTGTACTTTCCTGCGGAACTGGTTGAGCTGAGTGCCGGAGAGATCGAGACGACGTCTTGTGATCTCATCATATTCCTTTGTAGAGTACAGTTTTAGTAAAAGTTTACATTTGAGAAGATTTTACTTACTTGACGTCTTATTTCGGCAATTTGGCTGCGTTCCGTGTAAGTGCTTTGGTAAGGGTACACGTGTAGAAGAAAAGGCCACACTTCTTTGCGAAGATTACGTTCCATTCCAGAAAAGAAAATCGATTTTCGTAGGGTGAGATCATCTTCAAGGTGGCCTACGTCATTGAATAAACTTCTGAAGATGTCTTCTGTTAGTTTAGGTACTTGGCCTTCTTCTGGGTGGAGTTCCAAGTCGGATACTTCTGGTCGACAGACCATGAAGTGACGATAAGGAAGATTCTCTTCATAACCTGCAAATTTAAACATTACTTGTGTAGTGTTTGTTACATGTTTTTTGGATTTGGTTATTTGTAAAAACACTCATTTAAGTATTACCTTTGGCATGCTTGATGTTGTGTAACAAAGAATGCCACTGATGTAAAACTTGAGCCAAATGGTCCAACCCTCCATGATGAAAGTGTAAAATTTTATATTGAGATTCTCTGGATGCTACAACAAGCTGCCCACAAGTACAGTTACTATCATTAAAAAATAATCGTAGAGATCTCATCTGACTTAAGTCAACACTAAATCTTCTACATTTATGCGGCTGTTTTGTTGGCAATACTGGTGAACAATTGTTGCTTTCAGGAAACATCAAATTGTGCTTTTGTGCTAGGAACTCCGGTGTTGTTATCCAATTTAATTGACTGTCATTTGAAGTCACGCTCTCTGATCTCGAAAAGTCAAATTTTTCAGTCGGATCTTTAACACTATCGGGTGTAGTAACTATTTCTATGTCAGGATTAGCAATATCAACATTGATATTGATGATAGTGCCTTGTTTGTCACTGTCTTCGGAACTTAGAGAGTCCGTAGTGCTATCGCAGTTTAAAAAAGGGTTAGTACTTTTCAATTCAATACTGGCGGGACGCTCTGTAACGTTTAAATTAAGCGATTTTAGAAACTGGAAATGCATTTTTTACCTGGAATACTTCCGTTAGAATCGTTAGAGTTAAGACTTTCCATGCTGGTTTGCTTGTTGTGGTTGTAAGAGTTCTGCAATGCACTTGGGCATTTTGTAAGAGCCGAATTAGGTATCCAAGTAAGAAAAAGGGTGGGTCTTCTGCTCTCGTTGTATTGATCAACGAAGACTTTGGATGTGATGGTAAGATAGCCGGGATGATGAAGTATGTCGGTGTCTTGGCGCACCATTGCTGGCGGATGTACGCAGACATTATTTTTGCAAAAAAGAACTTCATTATCTTCGTATTGAGCGTCTTTTGAGAAGTGATCTTCAACGCCCAGGATGTAAGTCGACGCACGTCGAATTATGTCTACCAGAGGCATTTTCAAATCTGTAAAAGAAATTAGTTACTTATTTTAATCATTGTTTAAAAATTTTCCATGTGCATAATTATAAAACAAAGTTTAGCACGAAAGTTCAGCCCCATTTCAAGAACAATGTCTCCAAACATTTTGAAAAAAAAACTATAGTACTTGCATAAATATAAAATTAAAATTAACGCCGAATGTCATTGAGTTTTGTCTACTTTTGGGACAAACAGAATAAGAAAATAAATGTTTTTAATGTCCAGTAACTCATAATAAAATTAATGCAATAATTTTGCTCTTAAAATCCCAGTCTATAATACCGCGTTTCAAGGATATTTTGCTAACAATTTATTTAATGTTGTTGATGATGACGTTATCGAATTCTGGGAGGAGTAAACAGATGTTGATTTTTATATGTACAATGTAGCACAAACCAGCACTTTAATGTGTTTTTAAAATTTCTAAGAAGTCAGATAAACTACTCTCATGTTTTATAGACGTTTTATTACTCTAAAGTACGAGAAAATTGGACTGCGTTTTGTTGTTAAATTTTATATGGAAATGGCATACGTCTCCTGACTGAAATAGGAACACTCACTAGAAACATACGCATATCCTTGCTCCTCCTCCTGATTTTCCCGAAAGTGATATTAGTAATATTACAATTGAAGTAAGTTATTCAGGCTCACCTCATTTCATATTATTATTACCACTATACTGTGTGTCTAACTCAGTTAACACAAATGTTTGCAATTACGTATGCAGGGTGAGTCAAAAACAGCCATATTTGGAACCTCCAAACATTTGCGTAACGTTCTGTCAATGCGGGTAGAATCGAGCCTCCGTTTCCTAATATGTGTGGAGAAGTGTGAACACTTCGCGCCAGATCAAATATAGACAAGTCAACAGAGTGTGTTTTCGGAACATAATGCGTTCGAATCAAACACAGTGGCGGAGTATGAGCGACCAAAGTATGATTAAAAACAATTTTTTCTGCAAGAATTTGTACAAAATACAAACAATCAGTTTTTTACTTTAAGGGCGTAAGTTATTTTATTAAAATGTCCAATCACCGAAATCTGATGAGAACATACCACGACAGACTGGCGTCACAATTCTGAAAGCGAGGGAAGTAGTGGCTAAACAGCTTAACTTCCTTATGAGTTTTTTGTTTGTAAAAGTATAGTACTGAAATTGAGAACGTTTGCATATTATTTAATAAAAAAAATGTGTATGTTGACAGTACTATTGACTATATGTTTTATTTAATAGGACCTAAAAATTTTGTATGCAAAAATCGTAGGGACATACCCACTACTTTCTACGTTTCCAAAAAAGATTTATGAATGTTAGAAATCTCACACGTCAGTAACGTACATAAAAGCAAAAAACAATGTGACTATTTACGGATTCTAGCAACAAAGTTGAATTAACAAACAGCATGCGATAAAAAAGCGAATTTGATGTGAACCAGAATAACCAGAACATTTAACTAATCATTTTTGGTCAGTAGATGTCGATATCGTTTCGAATTTCTCGAAAAAAGTTCTGTTGTTACTCAATTCTGTTGCCCATTATTTTCGGCACTGACAAATGACCTGTCAGCTGTGTGCAGTCGTGCAAATGGTTCCACCTGTAAAAATTGATCTTACAGTCAACTCTACTTCGTTTTATTTTCAGAAAATACAATCTGCTAATTTGTTAGATAATAATTGTAGAAGAATTATTGACCTAAATTCATGAAACTACGTTTCCAAAGGAATCTCAGTTTTACTTTTTATCCGAAATATTAAACATAGTAATCATAATTTTGACAAAAACATCATGTAGTTTACAACAAAATTTTACTTAAGTGATGTAAAACAGTTCAAAATGTAGCCCACGATTTCATTCACATGCACCACTCCTGTCCCAATATAAAATTTTCAACCGCAATAAAGTAAAGTCTGGTAAGATATTGTTACGATTGACGGACGAATAATAAATCGGGCGTTGGTAAAACTCAAAAATTTATTTCTTCAGGTCGAATTACAACACTATCTATTGCAACGAATATGTACAGAAATTATTCCGGCGCTCTCGACTGTCTTCACTGGATGAATGAATCCATTACCTACGGTCGCCTCTATTTAAACCCATAGTCTCTGATCGAGATCCTTCACGAACATCCATCGCGACTCCGCTTCGAGACTCCCCTGGACGCCGCTTCGAGACGCTCCAGACCTGTCTTTATGCGCCCGCCTCTCGGCCGTCAACAGCGATGATTCACCCATCAGCGCCGTGCGTACGTCCAGAAGGCTCTCGACCGCCGTAGGCGTCGTACTGGGGCGGCGTAAGGGTGTATTTCGTAACACTGCCCCCCTCTTCAAATCCGATCGTCCCGATCGGAAGCGTCTTCGTTGTTTCCTTCGTACCGTTTTAGTCGATCGAGATGAACGATCTTCATCTTCGTCTTTGGTCCACGTTGGATCCGATAAACTACGTCATTTATTCTAGTGACGATAGTGTATGGACCTTCCCAGTCAGGAGCCAGTTTTGGGCAACGTCCCTTCTTCCGTCGGGGGTTATACAGCCACACTAAGTCATCTTCCTGGAATCCGCCACAGTTGGCCTTCACATCATAACGGGTCTTCATTCGGTCACTGGCAATCTTGATCCGGCCCCTCACTAGTTCATGTACGTTGACCAACTTCTCTTTCAGTTCGTCCACGTAGTCACGTACTTCCATCGGTTCTTCGGATGGCAATCCAAAGACTAGGTCACAGGGCAGCCGCAGTTCCTTCCCAAATACAACGTGAGCAGGTGTTTGGCCCGTGGTGTCGTGGATAGCTGCGCGGTAGGCCAGCAGGAATAGTGGAAGGTGCTGGTCCCAATCCCTTTGGTGCTCTTCTACCACTTTCGAAAGGTGTTGCTCCATAGTCCGATTGAACCTTTCCACCATGCCGTCGGACTGTGGGTGTAGTGGCGTTGTCCTTGTCTTACGTATTCCCAGTAGCTGCATCACTCTTTGGAAGACGTTGGATTCGAAATTGCGTCCCTGGTCTGAGTGAAGTTCCAAGGGGACGCCAAACCTACTGATCCAATTGTCAACCAGTACTTTCGCGACCGTGACGGCTTCCTGATTTGGAATGGCATAGGCATCTGGCCACTTGCTGAAGTAGTCGCTAGCCACCAGGATAAACTTGTTGCCGTCGTTTGTTACAGGGAACGGACCGGCCACATCGATGGCGATTCTTTCGAAAGGTGCCCCAACATTATATTTCTTCATCTTTCCCCTCGCCCTGGTATGAGGACCTTGGCTGGCCGCACACGTCGTACACTTGCGACACCAACTTTCGACATCGTCACGATGACCTACCCAATAAAACCTCTCCCGGATTTTCGACAAAGTTTTGTTCACTCCGAAGTGGGCTCCAGATGTTCCGGCATGAACTTCCTCTAAGACCTTGGAAACCTTTACCTTGGGGAGGACCAGCATCGTCTTAGAGGTACGCCCATCAGGACTCTCCCACTTTCGCTTCAAGAGCCCATTTTCCATGACCAAGGAATCCCATTGGGCCCATAATGCCTTCAAACTGGGGGATTGGTCGGACAATTCTGCCCAGTCGGGTCGTTCGACTCCTTCCTCCTTCCACTTTAGTATTGGTCCGATTATGTCGTCTGCTTCTTGCTCACGCTTTAACCGCGCCGTTGTCCATTCTTCATCTTGCTCAAAAATCGTCCGACGAACGGGCAGGTTCCCTTCTTCCGCGTCGATCCTGTCGCAGTGCTTGCACTCTCCACACGGACGCCTTGACAAAGCGTCAGCGTTGTTGTGAAGTCGACCCGCTCGGTGTTTGATCCTAAAGTGGTACTGCTGTAGTCGTTCCAGCCAACGCGCTACTTGGCCCTCGGGATTCTTTATCTGCAGTAGCCACGAGAGGGCAGCGTGGTCGGTCCTGATCAGAAACTCCTGTCCGTATAGATACTTGTGGAAGTGGTTGACGGCTTTGACAATGGCTAGCAGTTCCTTCCTTGTGGCACAGTAATTTCTCTCTGGTTTGGAATGTAATTTACTAAAATATTCGATAACCCTTTCCTCCCCATCTTGTATCTGCGACAATACGGCCCCAACTCCCGAGTTACTCGCATCGGTATCGAGGACGAACCTTCCTTTGTCCCTGGGGTAAGCCAAAATGGGGCTGGTGCACAAAGCCGTCTTCAGTCTCTTAAAGGCCATCTCACATGTACTGCTCCACTTGAAAGTCGCCTTCTGCTCCGTCAGTTGGTGTAACGGTGCTGCGATGTCGGCATACCCTTCTACAAATCGTCGGTAATATGTGCAGAGTCCCAAGAAGCTTCGTAGTTCATGCTTGTCTCTTGGTATGGGCCAATCCCGGATAGCAAGAACTTTCGTCGGGTTGGTTTCTATTCCTTTCTCCGACACGATATGGCCCAGGAATTCGACTCTTTTCTGGAAGAGCGAGCATTTCTTGGGATTTAGTTTCAAACGAGCCTTTTCCATTCGTTCTAGCACCTCCTCGAGATTCTTCAGATGGTCGTCAAACGTTTTGCCCATAATCATGACGTCGTCGAGGTATACCAGGCAGGTCTTCCATGTCAGTCCTTTTAGCACCATCTCCATCAGCCGCTCGAATGTTGCTGGCGCATTACATAACCCGAAGGGCATAACGGTGAAGTGATAGAGGCCACTTCCGGTGGAGAACGCAGTCTTTTCTTTGTCGTCCGGGTGCAAGCCTACTTGCCAGTAGCCACTCTTCAAGTCCAAGGTCGAAAACCACGCCGAGCCGGATAAGGTCGTCAAGGTATCGTCTATTCGAGGAAGGGGGTAACTGTCTTTCTTCGTGACGTCGTTCAGTTTCCTGTAATCGACGCAAAATCGGGTAGTCCCGTCCTTCTTGGTAACCAAGACTACTGGAGATGACCACGCGCTGTTGGATTCTTCAATTACCCCATCTCTCAACATGTTGTCCACGAGTCTTGTAGCTTCTTCTTGTTTGGCTAGGGGTAGTCTTCGAGGAGC